CTCTAGACTATTATTTAGTATAGTTTACGCGTGTCCTCGATACGGTATCCCTATACTAACGCTATAAGGTGCATAAGGGCGTATTTCTAGGTAAAGAGTTTAGCTTTAAGTTTCCTAATATAGGGATAGAATATAAGCTTCTAATCGAGGATAACCCCTAAGACCTCTATCTCTTTAACTTACGGCGCCGGTACGCCCTTAAGGCGTAGTAAGAGTAGTAGCGGTTCTTATTTTCTCGTAAAATAAAGGAGCTTATATTTCTACAGCTTAAATCGTAGTCCGCTCCTTTATAACTAGCTTTAGTAGACTTATTATACCCGTTTAAGGTACGCCCGTAGTACGGCCTTATTACGTCTAAAGGCTATAATATTTATATTATCGATAAAGCCGATTACTACGACCCGCGGTATCCGGATTAGTTCCTAGTAAAGCGTCCTAATAAATAGTATAAAAAGGATCGGGGAGAGGGGGGATCCTTAGGGGACTCCCGCCTAGATTTCTACCTAGTACGCCGTATCGCCGTTAAAGCGTAGGCGCGCCGTGCGCGCTATAAGGTATAACTAGGTCTATTTTATAACCTAGTCCGGGAAGCCGTACTAGGTAAGGATTTTAAGGAGTTTTTAGTATAGTACTATATCGAAGGCGCCTTAGATATTAAGCTTTAATTACGCTATAGCCCCGCCGCACTCTTATATAGCGTATACTCCCTCTATAATAGCCTTAACCGCTATTCTTATATCACGGTGTCTACGATTACCTATTTATCCGGCGGGGAGGAGTTAGTACTCCTCCGCTACGGTTATAATTCTCCTTACTATTATCTGCTTAAGGACTTTCCTTATTACGTTAAGGAGTAATATCGGTTATTACCCCGAGGCTATTATATAAGCTTCCTTCGGTTTACTTAGTTTCTTAAGTATTACTACTTTTATAGTATAGTATTATTATAGGAAATATACGGCCTCAAGGCTCGCGGAGAAGAGTTATACTAGTCGCTTATAGAGTGGTTAGCTATAAGCGAGTAGGAATCTGTTCGGTAGGCTATCCTCTCCGGGTACCTTTTACTTTACTATTTATTATATAACCTACTAAACCTCCTTTTCTATAACCTTTTACGTAAGTAGTATTACCGCCGTCCTTAGCGCACCGCTAATACGCCCGCTTTCTATAGGGTATAGTAGGGGGAAAAACTTCTTTATAAGGATTATCGCTTTCCCGTTATATATTATCGCGATTAGTCCGCCCGCGCTATACTATAGGGGCGGGATAAATAGGAGGTCTAGGGGTAGGTGGCTTACCGTTTAGGCCCAGCATTATAATACCTAGAGGCTTTTCTAGTCTACTACTATCGTATTAACGGCGCCGCGCTAGCTCTTCCGCTTCTTTATTCTAACTAGAATATCGCGGTGTTTTTCTACCTCCTTAGGTTTATTCTACCTACCGCGCGACCGTTACCTATAATAACGCCGTGTTAGCCTTATTACCTCCTTATTCGCCTCTACTATCTCCTATATCCACTATAGCAGCCTATTGCGGAAGGCGGCTAGCTCGCGGCGCGGCGCTATAGCGTCCGCGATACTAATAAGGTCTTATAGTATTTAGTTTACTACCTAGTCGATTACTTTTAGGGTAAGGGGTATTTCTCTATAGTCTAGCCTCTAGGCCTCTCTCTAGGCCGTTTCCTAGTCTAACTTCCTCTACCTTTATCCTTTACTAGTAATATGCTAGCGCGGTTATACCGTATTAATATTAATTACCTAGGCTATATAGTCTAAGCCTATTTGGTCTAGATTATCCTCCTAGTATACGTATATAAGGTCCGCCGAAACCTAGGTAAGGTCTAGTGTACTATACTATCGATTAGTATCGGCCGAGGTCCTAGTAATATATCCTTTTAGGGTTATTAGGTTAAGTTACTATTAGTACGCGAGCGTAATAAGGTCTTCCGATTATCTTTCGTATCTATTATACCTATCCTAAAAGTGGTTTTTTAGGTTAAAGTCTCCTACTAGGACGGTATACTACTACTCCGGTTCTGCTATAAGATTATATATCAGGGTCTCCTACTCTCCTCTCTTATAGTATAGTAAGTATACTACCTATATATTTATCTCCTACTATTATATCCCGACTCTAATTATAGCCTAGGCCTAATTCTTACCCGTATACCACGTAAACGTAATAGCCTTATACCGCTTATATATATAGAGTAAGGCGCGCTTACTCCCCTATACTATTCTATAATTATATCCCCTTAAGTAAATTAGGTTCTTTCTTTTATCTAACCTAGGCTTTATTACCGCTATTATATTATACCTATTATAGTTATAGAGCGCTTATTATACTCTATCCCGCTATCCCCTTATATTCCACTAAGCGATTCTAATTATTTATCTTAGGCGGCTACGCCGCGCTCGCTTTATTTTATAATTACGCCTTAGGTATAGCCCGGGGGTAAGGGATAAGCCTTTATAGAGGCTAGAAGGTAGTATTAAAGGCGAGGAACCTTATAATATTATTATCCTGAGTAGGCGTAAAAAGGGCAGTATATAATCTAAGGAGGATATTCCGCGACCCTAAAGGGCGTCTTTTCTATTTTCTCTTTTTCTCGGGCGGTTTGGGGACTATTATCGTGTCTAATAACGCTATAAAAACGCTATACTCCCTTTCCGCCTTATATTTCTCGAGTTAGCTAAGGTTAAATCCCTTTACTCTATTAGTATATACCTCCTTAATCCGCGCCCTTTCCTTTACTTTATTTAGGTATTTATCGTTAAATACCATATACGGCCCTTTATAGGCGGCGTAACGCTTTTTCTTCGGGTCTATCTTAGCTTTATACGCTATAAAGCCCTTTTAGTACGCTAACTCTATACCACCATAATACCTGTATAGCGCTTTTATCGCTTAGCACTAACCTACTTTATATCCGAAGTTAAGGCACTTAAAGCACTGTTATAGGGAGATCTTAGGGTTATAGGGTTCGCTATTATAGTATCCGTAATTAAAGAAGACTCCCTCTTTTACTAGTCGCTCCGTGTCCTTAGGGCGGGCGACCTTAATAATTAGTAACGCCGTCCGCGCTATATTATTCCTGGGTTTCTTAGCCTTAATCCGGGTAATCGCTATATTATTCTATAGCTAAAGTTTTTATAGCGCCGCGTTAGGGTTATAAGTTAATAGCTACGCTATCGGTATTCCTTTTACTATAACTTAATACGTTTTCTTATATATCGTGGCTTTTATACCCAATACGCCTTTAACCTAGTTATTCGCGTTCGCTATCTATTATTTATTCCTATACTTAAATATAAGAATCACGTCGCCGCTTAGGAGTTATTACGCGGCTATTATATCTATATAGCGGGTAACTTAATTAACCGCCTTAATAATCTTTTATAGGGTTCGGCTTTTAAGGTCGGTCTTAGCGTCTCCGTATTAGACTATTAGTTCTCGGGCGTATCGGGTGAGTATAACCTTTACCGGTGCTATCTTAATATATTAGCGCTACGCGGGCGTGCTCCCCACTACCTAGGCGTAGGTCTTAGGTCCTGCTACTCCGAGTAATTCCGTTAGTATACCCTTAATCGCTTATTAGATCGTGTCGGTAAGCCCTTTAATTATAAGGGGGGGTATATCGCTACCGGGTTATTAGCGTAGCGGCTTCCCTATAATAGTCTTATAGTATTACGTTTAAAGGATCTTCTATACTAGCTTTAGCGCCTTATCGGCGCTTACCCTATTAGCTAATAGTCCGGAAAATTAGGTACGTAGTTTATATAATACGCCTTCGGTACGCCCGCTCAGTGCCTAGGATTTTTAGGGCTCTTCTGGGGCTATACGCCCCGGGTTAGTTTTAGTTATCGTATTCTAGGCGCTCTATAGTAGTATACCGGTATCGTGTTCGGTTAGCCCTATAGGCCGCCCTATAGTATATAACTCACCACGCCCTCTACGGCCTCGCTACGATATCGGTCTCCGGTACTTTTAAGGGCGTAGAGTCCGAATCCGATGTCAGAATTGATTTTATCGATAATACGGTACCTTAGGGGCACTTTCGGCTTAACGATACTCGATCTTAAAGTATTACTAAAGATAAGGATTAAAAGACTATAGGAATAGCGTAATTGAACGGATTAAAAGGATTATATCGCGTAGTTAAAATAATTATATAAAGAGATTAAACGCGTTAAAGCCGTGGCTATAGTAAAGATAAAGAGCTCTAAGGGCGTAGTAGATCCGATAGATATAGATCCGATTAAGTAGATCTAGCTAATTAGGATTAAAGAACCGATTAAGATAGAATTAAATTAAATAGTTAAATAAGGCGGATTTATATCCTTTTTATAAGGGCGTTTTCCCTTAACTATTAATTTTATAATAGAAAATTTAAGAGCTTTTAGTTTAAACCGAAGCCTCTAATTAATTAGTTAACCTAGAAAGACCTACCTTAACTAAGGGGGTATATTATATAGGTATATAGACTATAATATAGTCCTTAGGGGATCTATACCTAATTAAGGGCTTCGGATCTCGGGGACCTTGGGTATTAGGATATAATAAGGGAGGATACCGGAAAAGACCGGATAGGATCCATATAGTACCTATAACAGAGTCTTTACTACCTAAATTAAGGGCATAAAAGACTTACACAGATATAACTTAATATAATACACATAGACGAGATTTCTGCTCTATTAAGTTAATTATATAAGTGCTATTTTGATGTGCGGTAGCTTGTGTTCCGCAGCCACGGGGTTTATTGGAGGGAGGAAGCGATGGGTGGGGAGGCGACGTGGACTCGGTAACGGCGATGTAGCCGTGCAGCCAGGCTCGATGGAACTCATAAAGCCGAGACACGTTCCGGGCGGAATAACCGCTTCTGACCAGGTTAACGGCGTGGTTGCGGACCCTGTTCTGCGAGGCGGCGGCCCAGAAGTGCACACCATTTGCGGGCCCGACGCAGTTGGCCCAGGTGTAGCGCAGAGCCTTGCACAGTTTCACGAATGGAATGGAATGAGACCTTTAAGATACTCCCGCAACCCATGATCGCATGCGTACACATACGTCCCCCGGATCCCGCGCGTCATAAGCACGGCATAGATCTGTGTGATGAACCGCAACAGGTCATCGTCCGAGTAGGTCCTGCCGAGGGCCGGGTTGTTCTCCTTGCCCTTCTTGTCAAAGTACGAGTCGCGATCGATGAAGAGACGTCGCCGCGCGGGGTCGAACCGCAGGTCCAGACCGATAATGACGCCGACGTAGTTCAGGTCGTAGCCCTGCACCGTGTGGATTGATCCCACTTCCTTGAGCGCGTTGCTGGAGGAGATCCAGTCGGTGGCTGTGCTGTTCCAGCAGAGTTGCGTATCGCCGATCTCGATGTCGAACGCCGTCTTGTCCTTCTTCGTCTTCCACTCCCACGCGTAGCCGGCGACCATCCGTGCAAGACCCACCTCTGCATCGCGCTGGAAGATTTCGTCTCGCATGTGCGCGACGCATTCAAAGGTGCGGAAGTCATAGTCCCCGAAATCGCGTCGCATCCGCGGAAGCGAGAGAGGACGAGGGTCAAGAATCCAGCGGACGTAGGACACAAAGTCGGATCCCGCCCGCACGCGCATCTGCGTCCGGAGTTGGAAGTGCCGTCTCGACGCACGAGCGTCGGCCACCAGGCCCGACAGCAACTCCGACGGCAGGTCGGCCGGGCGGACACTCTGCGCTGCGTCCAGCAGGAATATCTGATGCCGGCTCTTGGCCCGTATCCAGTCCAGTTGGGTCTTGCTGGTGTCGTCGCCGCCAAAAAGCTCTCTCGTGATGGTTGCAAACTTGGCGTTGAGCACTCCTGAAGGTTGGTTGGCACGTTGACTGAGCCGATGAGTCTCATCGACGAGCAGCAGGCTGAAGATTCCATCTGCCTGTCCCACGTCAAAAGGCGTCATGACCATAGAGGGCTGGAGTCCAGGCGTTTTCTTGAAGACAGCTTTGATGGAAGATCGCAGCGACTGCTGTGGCACGACTAGGCCGACACGGAGACCCTGGAGCAGCCCCCGGTTGGTGTCGGAGAAGAAAGTAGCGAACCGCGCGTCGCTGTCCAATCTTCGAGTGTGGTGAAAGTCTGGATGTCGACGAGCAGCTTGATCAAGTATATGGCCGCCACCGTTTTGCCGGTGCCCGGATCGCCCTGGATCACGATCATGCTGTCGGTGCCGCTCTCGAGATCAGCAAGGAGGCCCTTGACAATCTCCTCGACCGAAGCTGCTTGATCGTCTGTCAATGCCTTAAACGGTGACAACTTGAACAGATCGCTGTTTTCGATCTCATGAAGACCCCGCGTGAAGACGCCATTGGCTCGAAGTCGCTCGAAAATGTTGCGGAAGCCCTCGCGATATGACTCGCGTTGGAAGTATCTGGATTCGGTGATGCCGTTGTTCCGGTTGAGCACTCGGCTGGCACCGTCACCGGCCAGCATCTTGATGAGGTAGGATTCTAAATCAAGGCAGACCGACTTGTTGAATCTTTCATCGAAGATGACGTGGATGTTCTTGAGATGCTGTTTTGCAGGCGTTTCGAGGTGCTGCCGCAGTCGGCCAGCTGCATTAAGCGACTCCCCAACGTAGATGTCCCTCAGCTGGCTCGAACTTGCCCGGGCGGTGCCGCGGCCATCGTCCAACACGTACACGACAGGCCAGTTGCTGTGTCTCTCGTCATGGGCTCTCCACGTCGTGACGGCATCCTTGGAGAAATCAAGCTGGGCGATCCTCAAGTTGGTCATACTTCCTGCTGCTGCCTCGCGCCTTGTCGACAGGGTACTTCTTGCGCGTTATTTCGAGCTTCTCCAACACGATCTGCCCTGGGTCGACTCCGATCCGGTCTGCTAGAAGCAGACAGTAGGTCAGGACGTCGGCTAGCTCTTCGCGTACGCGCTTGGGGTCGGCTTCGGCGCTCCACTGGAAGCACTCGAGGAGCTCGCCGGCTTCGACGACGACACTCTTGGCAAGGTTCTCCGGAGTGTGGAACTGCACCCAGTCTCGCTCGGCGACGAAGGCGGCGAGTGCACCGTGGACTTCCTTGCTAACCATGGGTTCGGGTAGAAACCAGTTGGTGCTAGCCTGTGTTATCTACTCGTAAGCGCGCTGTTCCAGCTCCCATCTTGGTAGACCATTACTTGCCAACGAGAACGCGCTTGAAGTGCGCTGCAGTCCGGTTGTCAGGCCCTGTGCTGTCACGAAGTAAGCAGGTTGACGAAAACGTCGTCTTTGCCGGCCATGACTTTACAATAAACCTAGGTGCCCTTGGCCGAGTTTGGAATGGTGATGTCAAAAGAGGAATCGGTGTGCAACAACGTAGCTAATGGTGATGAGGCTGCCATTCAAATGTACTTGGTCGCATTTCCAATTGCGAGAATGTTCTGTGGGCCAGCCCTGGCTAGGTAGTTAGGGGTGGGGGTAGTAGTAATGAGGAGGTATGGCCGGAAAGGAAAGGGTGTCGGCGCTTATTAGGAAACGTCGACACGGACGGAGGTGGCCCTACTCGCTATTCCTCCCCCCCGATACTCCGGGCTCCGTTTCTCTAGAAGCATAAACGGCAGAGTGGACGGCTAAGCTACGGCATAGAGTTCGCATTGCCGATATTTTACCGAGAACACTCTCTATATCCGGGAACCCGTCCGCTCTCCCCTAGATAAGCCAGTGAGGGCCGGATTGGTAGTTGGGTCGGTGACGACCAGCGAATACACGGTGTTGTATGTTTTTTTTTTTTTTTGCTTCCTTTTTCCTCTGCTTTAAAATCAGGTCCCTCTTTCTTTCTCCACCTCATAGAGGACGTCGTAGACAGGACGATTCGAACAAATGCCGAGTACACGCGCTTGGTGTTGAGGCTCTGGCGCGTGGCTGTGCATCTGAGCCGGCACCCCCTGAAGCGTGAGGCTAAGCAGTGGATTCAGAAAAAAGGCACAGTCAGCGAGGCAACTCGTCAGCTTGCCTTCAATTCACTGTCTCGTATTCACTCCAGTCGCCGTTCATCTTTCTTTTTCCCCCAAAGAAAACATCACAACAAACTCGTCCCAACTTTACGTTCGCTACTACGCCGTACCACGATCGCTTGCTTCTCCTAGCCACGACAAGTGGCGCCGTCCGCCGCCTCTGCGAATAACTTCGACAAGGAACCTCGACTGAAAGATACCCCTCCCGCCCCACCCATCACCAGCTTAACGTCCCTTCGCCCATCACGTTCGTTCAATTCAGCATGTCTGAAGGCCTGTTCTCCAACGATCTCCTCTCTCCGGCCGTTTCTGCCGCCCTCCCCGAAGGTTACATAATCCGCCCTCTGCGGAGATCCGACTACAACACCGGCTACCTCGACTGTCTGAAAGTTCTGACTACCGTCGGCGACATCCAAGAGGACAAGTTCCAGGAGCGCTACGACTTGCTTGCCTCCCGACCGGGTTCCTACTACATTCTCATCGTGGAGGACACAATTCGGAGTAGAGTCGTCGGCACAGGTGCCCTGATCGTCGAGCACAAGTTGTAGGTTCCTCCCCCAGTACCTGGGCGCTTCAATGCCCTCTCGCCGGCCGGGATCAACAAGATTGACCTCCCTCCTTCGTCTCTAGCATCCACAATCTCGGTCAGGTCGGTCACATCGAAGACATTGCGGTAGCCAAGGACCAGCAGGGCAAGAAGCTGGGCCTGCGGATCATTGAAGCCCTCGACTACATCGCAGAGAAGGTTGGCTGTTACAAGAGCATCCTCGACTGCAGCGAAGCCAACGAGGGCTTCTACGTCAAGTGCGGGTTCCGAAGGGCGGGTCTTCAAATGGCCCATTACTACGAGGGAAGCAAGAAGCAAACGACTGCTACGACGACGACGAATGGTGTGGCCCCAGCCAACGGCCAGTAGACAATTATCATTTACATTTCATCGGTCATTTCGTTTCGGTCTCGTCTTATATTTCTACATTTCTTTGGAGCACATTTTCTACTTCAGTTCATATCATGGGAGCGTGGTGGGCGAAGACATACGAATATATAGGATACAAAAAATAGAGGGGCCCCTTTCATGCGTGTCGATGCCGATGCCGATGCCGATTACAACAATTTTCTCCCTCCGAAGCGCAGCGAGGCTGGATGGAAACGCGATGTAAGCAGCCTCAGTTACCCCGTCCCACGGGAATTCATAGTGTACTTTAATTACGTACAGCACAAGCGGAATACCCCGTACGTCCTTCTAAAGACGTTGCACAACAGCCGGTCGATACTCTTTTTTTGGTGCCATGTGACAAAGACACCAGAATCTCGTGTTTTAGCGCACCGCATTACGGATGTCTTCGCTACTCGGTCTCGGCGGCTCCGACCCCAGCCTTGTGACTTGGCTTCTCCATAAATCATTATCCGTACATGAAATTCGAACAAAGACCCTTAGGGCTGCAACTGAGCGTCCGTAGTGCTGTGATATACGTTGTAGGTATGTACCTAGCCTTATATAAGGTAGGATTTTGCTGTTTCTAATTTCGGCGCGGCTGAAGGCGGTTAGGCGCCATACCTCTTATCCTTCCTTAAAAACTCCAGTGAGTGCTCCACAAAAATCTCGCAGTCCCCTTGTTCTCCCAGTCTCCGATGTCATGCGGACCACGCGACTCCGTGGCACCCGGCCTGAAACGTTTAACGGGCCTGGGGCATGGGGACCCTTTCGACAGGTGAGTGCTGTTTTGGCGGCATAAATTGGGCCTCGAACTTAAGAGCCTTTTTCCAATGATTCCGGGGCGACGATATACACTTACAACGTATACCGTTCATTTTGGTCCGGCAGTCGTGCCCAACCCGGTCACCCGACCAGGTCTGTCGTCAAGTGCCAGGGGTACAGCGGGCGTCGAGTTCGTCGGCGTTAGCGTGCGTGCCTGACTCCTCCCCTCGGTCTCTTGGCGATTCTCGTTTACGTGCACCTTACAGAGTAGGTAATGTACTTCGTACCACCTATCGCGGAGCATCTCCGAATCGAGCTGGTTCGATTCCCCGAAAGTTCCAGGTTCCTTTGCACGATCACATGTCACAAGCGAATGACGACCAACCAGCCACTGCTTCCCCCGTCGTCGTACCTTTACCCTCACCTTTAGGCCTTTTGCAAGGGTCATGCAGCGGATCGGGGTCGTCAACTTCCGGTACGGGGCGTCCGACTCGGCACCCCCCTCACCTCGCCCGTCTGGCCACATTTGTGTCTGTACGAAGTACTCGTCGCATTATGCGCGCTCTCGTATAAGTAATGGATGCCCTCCTCTGCGACCTGAAAGCGCCTTGCGACCTTCCCCTCACCTTGTCTTATCCGACTTGCCTATCTTTCGTATATCCAGTGTCCCCGACCTCACCTCGCAGTCAAGAAATACCGCATCCTATACTCAGGCATCACGTGAACTACTACATAAGAAACCAACGCTCATCTCATTCCCACCAAGATGATTGAAGATCTCACCAAGACCATCAACCGCGTCCGCATTGCCTCCCTGCAGTCAGAGTGCGTCCCCTTCTCTCATGTGATCTCACGTCATCTCGTCATACCCCACGAGTCCGCTCAATTGTTTTACCCCGCCTTTCCCGAAACGTCCCGCTAAAACATGATACGCAGGGTAATGGACAAGGCCAAGCCTTCCGTCCGCCGCCGAAGCAGCAGCCGAGTCACTGCTCTGCCTAGCCAGTCTGGCTCCCCCGTCTTCGCCAGACAGAAGGTCATTCGCGTGGTCTCTTGAACTGATTCGGTGTCGTGCCGCCGCCGTGACTCCCAATTTCCCCTTACCTGTTCCAACCCAGTCACTTATCCTCCATCCGCGCCGCAATTTCGGCAGTACATGAGAACCTGCGTCCAGGGATCCTCATTATGATTCTTGAAGAGCGGCTCGGGCAAGCAGCAATGAAGACAACTCCTGGGAAACGGACCAAACTCGGCGGCGGGGACATCACACTTGCGACCTGCAAGAGCCTGAACCGGGGTTGGCTGCTGAGCGTCTCACTGGAACGACGAAATTTGACATGGGAGCATCCGAGCACGTGGTGTTCCTCCTACGGCGGACCGAAGAAACACGTTGGTTTCTTCCTCGGGCTCATCGGCTTCGCAGAGCATCAGTCCTGATCTCTCTCCTCCTCCAATCGACCGCTCCTCCTTGGGCAACGGGAAGTATCGAGGAACTATGTGCGGATATATTCATCGGCCCAAAAAAAAAAGAGAAAGGTTTGCCGGCACACCTCGCATGGGAATTTGTGTTTCACGGATTTACAGCTTTGTGCAAGGGAAAAGAGGGCATCAAACCAATTGTTATGAATGGCGTATGGGACATGCTACGATTGTTTTATAGCGGGGAACAGATATCCAGGCGTTTTTCGAGTCATTTTTATTTCTCCATCCCCGAAGTTTCTTGAGCAGAAACCATCCAAGAACTATACAAGATTGAATGCTATACCATCCACTACATCGTTTTGCATGTTTTTCAAGTTTTCCATGTTCACGCGATGCCTTCTCGCGATGAGCTGTTTGCTTGATTTCATCGACCCATCCAGCCACCGTCCACAACTAGTGTATGGCCGCTGACATAGGCGCTGGCGCGGCTGGCAAGGTAGACGGTGGTGCCCTTGAAATCCTCGGGCGTCCCCCACCGGCCGGCGGGGATGCGAGCGCTGATGCTCGCAAGACGCTCCTTGTCGTCCAGGAGGGCGGTGTTCATCTCGGTCTCGATGTAGCCCGGGGCGATGGCGTTGACGGTGATGCCGCGCGAGGTCCACTCGTTGGCAAAGCTCTTGGTGAGCTGGGCCACGGCGCCCTTGGAGGCGGCGTAGGCGGGCACGGTGAAGCCGCCTTGGAAGGAGAGGAGGGAGGCGTAGTTGATGATGCTGCCGCGGCGGCCGGTGACGGGGGAAGGGTCTAGGGTAAGCATGTGGGCGCCGACATCGCGGGTGAGGGTGAAGACGGAATTGAGGTTGACTTGGATGACCTGGTCAGGAGAGAAGGCGAGGGCGATGTATCAGTACGATGGAACTAGTTGGGTGGTTCAGCTGCAAGAAGAATGGGGGGACGGAGCCCCCAGTAGAAGTTATTCCTCACCTCGTTGAAGTCGGAGTCGGGGAACTTCTCGGCCGGGTGGCGTCTCTGAATGCCGGCGCAGTTCACGAGGATGCGGATTTGGTGGCCATCAGCGAGGACCTTGGGAACGAGAGAGGCGACGCTTTGGGGCTCACTGAGGTCTGCTGTATAGATCTGAGACTTGCGACCTAGCTTCTGGATGGCATCGCGAGTGGACTTCACAGATTCATCCCTCTAATAGACATGGTGTCAGTCTTTTTTTCGAGGGCTACAATTGACGCAATACTACAAAGCGACAGATGGGGGAAAGACGAGTGTCAACGAACCTGAACGAGCAAGACGTCGGCTCCAGCTTCTGCGAGGGCGATGGCGACAACTTGACCAATTCCACGGGTGCCGCCTGTCAGTAAGGCGGTTTGGCCCTCGAGGGAGAATTGGGACGAAGCCATGATAAGGGCGCTTGGTATCCCCGAATGGAAATAGATGGGTTAGGTGAAGTCTACTGGAAGAACAGATAGTCGGATAAATTAGTCGTCGAAACTGACCTAAGATGTAATCAAGTGAATAGCATCGCATACCTATCGTAGAAGGAGAAATGGAAGTACTACTTCCAACTTGGATGCTGAACCAACAGGGGCTGAGGTTTCCGGTTTCACGATACCTGAAGACACGGAGGAATCCCCGAGCAATACATGTCGGATCCAGCGGCGGACAAGTGGGGGGTAATTGGCTACACAGAGTAAAAGTTACCTACTACGAAGTAATTGCTACTATGGGTATGCTTAAGGTATGCTCGGCAAAGGACGGGGCCTTTGGGCTGTAGGTTACTAGGTCTTGTTTCTTTTGGCTGCAAGCTAGAATTTTAAGGGAAGCATCAAAATTTCAATCAGAGGGTTGTTCTCACATCAACACTTGCTTACTTCGTAAGCAAGCAAAGCAGTTGCCGTGCCTGGAATTTGCGGTTGGTATCCGTCCCAGCCCCGGGCGCTTCCCCGCCGCTTCGGTCCTGGTCTTGGAGGGGTTAGTGGGGCCAATAGGTGCGGGGTACTTCCGAGTGACGTACGTTGTAGAGAGTTGCTAATTACGTGGGGGTCTGGGTACTCCCGTAATTAATTCTTCCATCCAATCTTCCCTCCCTTCTACCTTGATTAATTCGGTAATTCTCCCGCTCGTTGCCCAGATCAACAGGGCAAACTCGACTCATGTTCGGCACCTGGACAGACACTGGGTCTACGGGAAGAATTAGCCCAGTTAGACCAGAAAGAAGCCAAGCAACCTGCTGCCCTGTCATGATCCCACGGAAACGGTCCCAGGCCGATGCTTCTCCAGTCACGACCCCTGATAACTTCTACCGGTAATTCTATTACGCTCTCTTTCGGCCCACTGCCGACTCGTGGAGAGCTATGCCGAAGGGATTTTGCAGATGACAAAAGCCCGCGCCCAACGATCACACTCGTCATCCCTAAGCTGGAATCGGCATCCCACCTGGACCACCTGTGATTGTCTGCTGTTCAAAATTGAATATACTCGGTTATCTCCGTGATTCTTTATCAGGTCTTTTTCTTTTGCATGCGAACATCTCTTCCCGGCAGGCATCTTATGAGACGAACCCTACAGTCGACTCCTCCTACTTGGCCATTGTTGGAATGAACCGTCCTTCATAAAAGGATCTTTAGAGACAGAATGGCAAACATCACAGTCCAAGCCTCCGTCCTCCACGGAGTTAAAGATCTCCGAGTCGTAAGGTCCTAGCAGCATTTCTCAAAAAAAAAAAAAAAAAAACTTTCATCTTTTCTCCCTCCTGGGCCGCTGGCCCTTGTCACAACCGACTCACACCCTCAACCTAGGAAGAACGCCCCCTCCCAACCCCAGCAAACGGCGAAGTCCAGGTAGCCGTCCAAGCCACCGGCCTCTGCGGCTCCGACTTGCACTACTTCTCCCACTTCCGCAACGGCGACATCCTCGTTCGCGAACCCCTGACACTGGGCCATGAATCTGCCGGCGTCGTCACGGCCATCGGACCCGACGTCTCTACCCTCGCCGTTGGAGATCGTGTCGCGCTCGAAGTCGGCCAGCCCTGCGAAGCCTGCGACCTGTGTCTCGAAGGCCGATACAATATCTGCCCTTCTATGAAGTTCCGGAGCTCCGCCAAAGCCTTCCCGCATGCCCAAGGCACTCTCCAGGAGAAAGTGAACCACCCAGCCAAGTGGTGTCACAAGTACGTACAGTCTAGTTTGCCGACCACGATTCGATTTTTTTGGCGCTGACTTGGTCCAGACTTCCAGACAATGTGTCCCTCGAACTCGGCGCCATCGTAGAAGCCCTCTCCGTAGCAATGCACGCTTACGACCGCGCCGTTTTGCAGGGTAACGCGACCGTTCTAGTTCTCGGTGCTGGCGCCATCGGCCTCCTTTGCTCCGCCGTCATCAGGGCTACCGGACACAAAGCCATCATAGCCGACATCCAAGAAGATCGCGTCCGGTTTGCTACGGATAATGGCTTCGCCCACGCTGGCGTCGTCGTCCCCCCGAGACGCCCTGCCTCCATCGAGGACAAGCTATCTTACGCCCAGGAGGTTGCCGAGTTGGTCAAGGCTGCCCAAGTGGAAGGCAAAGCCGCAGGGCAGGTGAAGGTCACTTTTGAGTGCACGGGTGTCGAGACATGCATGCAAACGGCGATATACGTACGTATTCTACTTTTTTTTATACTTTTTCTTTTCTTTTTTTTCTTCCGAGGTCCAAATTATTTGCTCACGGCGCTTACTATTGCAGTCTACGCGGCCCGGCGGCAAGATTCTCATCATCGGCATGGGGACCCCTATCCAGACCCTGCCCATCTCGGCCGCTGCCCTTCGTGAAGTCGACCTCGTTGGGGTCTTCCGCTACGCCAACTCGTACGCGAGGGCCATCGAGCTTATCGCCCAGCGGCCCCCGGACCTGCCTCCTCTCGAGAAGCTCGTCACTCACAGGTTCTCCGGTCTGGCGCGTATTCGGGATGCTTTTGACATGGCTGCAAAGGTGAAGGACGAGTCGGGGAATTTGATCATCAAGGTCGTAGTAGACATGGGCGCCGGGCCGGGTGACTCACGATAGGTACTGAATTATTGGCCGTCTATAATTATTTTATACGGGACGAGGGAATGGCCTCAAAACTAGATGCTATTGGCTTATGTGCGCTTTTTCGGTACGTGGCATGTTCATGCTATGGATAGAATCAACACGAAAGCCCTAGGGACAACCTCCCAAATGATAAATCTCCCTAAGCCTTGTCGGGGAAACCAAAGTCGACATTGAAGGCAGGGTAGACGTAACGCTTGAGCTCCTGCTTGGCGACCAGGCCAGTCGAGTAATCAGTTAGCAGCTTGATATCCTCGGTGTCAAGGTCGACAGTTTGCAGGTTGGCCTTGATTCGGTCTGGGGAGGTGGACTTGGCGAGAACAGTGCTGCCACGGGCCTCTGTTGTTTTCACATACTTGTCAGCGTTCTTCGCATCATTTTGGCAACTGTCATTGTGCTGTGTCCTCTTGTGCGTCCCAGGACAGACACCGACAGGACGTGGAACTCTTGGTCAAAGATAGAGAGGATGGAGATGGTGGGCTGAACGCACGGTGGTAGCTTAGAAGGACGGTATTTGGTGAGACGTTGTGCTTCTGCGCAATCTTGACGACGGGCTCGGCAGTGAAAAGAGGACCGCCGGTGCTGCCGAAAGGGCTGTAGGCCATGATATGGATGCCCTTCTCCTTGCAGAGCTCGACGATCTCGTCTTGTGGTAGGCTGGGGTGGTTCTCGATTTGATTAACGGCGGGGATGACCTTGGGATTGGAGGCGAAGAGCTCCTCGAGGTAGCGCTTGCTGTACTGTGTCCGCGGCAGTGGAGGAATAATAGGAGACGCTGTGTTAGTCACAGAGGGACCATATCACTGGGGGCCGGGGAAAAAAAGAAAGAAAGAAAGAAAGAAAAGGGGGGAGGGCCTTACGTTGCAGACACCAATGGCCTTGACCTTGCCGGTGTCGAGGAGCTTCTCCATGGACTTCCACGTATTGGTATGGGAGTGGCTGTGGATGATGTCACGGCTGCCGTCGGGGAGAGTAGGGAACCTGTCATGGTTACCCTCGGAATTCATGGCCACAGGCCAGTGCTATGGTGTCGTCAGCGCGAAGAGACACAAGAGGAGGGAGACAGGGGCAGAAAAGCAAGAGAAACATACGACCAAAAACAGATCAACATAATCCAAGCCCAACGCCTTGAGGCTCTTCTCGAGGCCGAGCTTGACACGTTCGTCGCTGGTCTGGTAGGTACACCACAGCTTGGTGACAACAAAGACGTCCTCGCGCTTGACGCCGTTGTTGAAGGCCTCCAGCAGGCCTTCGCCGACCTCCTCCTCGTTGGCGTAGCAGTAGGCGCCATCGATCAGCTTGTACCCGTTCTGGAGCGCGAAAGAGACGGCCGTCTTGACCTTGCCTGCCTCGCCCTGCCATGTTCCTGGAGAGAGGGGAGAGAGGAAGGGAGACCGGTGTTAGCTTGAGCTCTGACTCTCGCGTTCGCCTGGATTCCCTTTCGACAACACGCTCATGAGCACTTTGAGACATACCGAGACCAATGGTGGGGATCTCCTGCCCGGTATTTAGCTTGTAGGTCTTATCCGCCATCTTTTTCTTGCCCTGGTCGAGTTGGAACTGTTTCTTCTTCGGCTTCGGTTGGTTTCGGGGCACCTTCGAGGCGGGGGCGGGGGCGGGGTAAAAGGATAAGGTAACCTAAGGTAGGTAGGTACCAGGTCAGGTCGTATGAGGGGATAGGTGAGAGGTGGTTGAAACAGCTGGCTTTGTCGTGATGCTACAAGTTCGAAGTTTACGAAAGATGTGAGACTTCAAAACCACGTCGGATACAAAGTAGGGATGTTTTATTATTAACGGTTGAATAAGCCTCGTCTTCCAAACTTGTCCCGCACAGAAGAACCATCCAAAACCAAGAATGGTAATGAGGGCCTTATTAATGGTGGCAGTTGCAACTCGTCAATCAGGCAAAAAAAGAAAAGCCGTAGAAGCATCAATGCAGACTTCGAGATCTAGCCGACACCCTACCCAGAACTATTACCCCTGACCCCCACTATGCCTCCATGACGATCTGGGATCATGGGGCGGAAATGGAGCAAATGGAGGGGTAACGGGGGGGAAGGGGGGTGAGGGGTTGGCTGGGATAGCTCAGGAGCCCACTGTCCGTCATCGTCCCAGACGTCTTCGACTCCTGATTCATGGAGAAACACGTCTTGTTGCGGGCCATCTTTCGGACAAATCTCCGCCGAGGACCTCACTACGCAAGTAATTACGAGGTTGCCATCTCGTAAGACTGTTCGAAATCCTGTCTACCATGCGCTGCCCCCTCTCGAGCGCATGCTACGTATTAGCGAAGCACTTTTGAGCCGACTTGAAACAGAGGCCACTTGCCGTTGAGTGAGTACGGAGCACAATGCGGCCGGTCTGACCTATCTCATCTGGGTTGTAATTATGATATACTCGACCGGCACTTATTCCGCCATTTATATCGACCCGAGTCTTGCGCTCACTTGGCCATCTCCACCAACACAACGACAGACATCGTACGGTGCCCTCACCCTGAAATTTGAAGAGGAAGGAATAAATTATTGAAGAGGCGCCTTAATATATCGGCACCTGCCTGTGGATCTTGATCACGAGCCTGTTCTGATTACAAGTCTGCAGACGTATCAAGTCCGTCTATCTATGCGAGGACTCACCCACGCAATGTATCAGCGGAAATATCCCATCGATAAAAAGACAACCGAATCCCAGAAACGACCCTATTGCGCTCTAGCCAGCTATGAGGACCCAGAGTCTGAGAGGGGTGTTAGTAAACGAACGCGGTGATTATAAGGACAGGTCAGTGGCGAGAAGGATGAGCTTACAGGAAAAATATCATGAGAACGCCGAACATTTCTATTCAAAACAGTCAGTGGCGGGATCCTGGAACAAAGACCTTAAAAGTCCCAGCGCGGGTCTGGCTGTTTCGAACTTACTTGCAATGAGCCACCGATTTCCCGACACGCGGCCCCAGTACTTGAGAAGTTCTGTAGACATGGTGAGCAAAGCTGCGTTTGGGCAGGGAAAGCAAAGATCAGATCGACGGCATGCGTACCTCTTTGCGCACCCTCGACGTTGTCGACAACATCCTCCGTGTTGGCATCGATTCTTTGAATCATCTCGCTCTGCTCCGATACCATGGTTGCCAGTTGCCCAAAGATGCTGCCAAGCTCGCCAATCGTCTTCTCGATGGCTTCAATCGCGTCCCCCCTCTGCTGGATATATGCGTTCTGCGGCTGCGCCTCCTCCATCATGAGCAGCTGCTGGTCGCTCGCAGGGTTCAGCGACAGCAAATCCGCCCCCGGAGACGGCGTCGCCCGGCCGGGCGCTCCATACAAGGGGGAAGCCGACTGTGGTAGGGGCGCCTGCGCGTGTTGCGACACGGACGAAATGAAGTTGTCTGTCCTGGACTTGGACGCCTGGATGTTCTTGGTGCGCTCCTCTAGCACGTCCTTGAAGTTGGCCGACACGTCCGTCAGTTTGCCCTGCAGTAGAAACACCACGTTCTTGTTGTGTTCCCCCTCCTGGTCCGCCTTGGGATGTTGTTGTTTGGTCAACGCCTGGAGTTGCGAAATTTGCTGGTTGATCGACGAGAGGTCTTGCTTGATGATGAAGGTGAGTTCGTTGATCTCGATGGGTCGGTCGTCGAATAGTGTCCTTCGTTTAGCCACTATCAAGTCGAGTTTGGTCAGTACCCTGGGGGCCAGAAAGAGAATGAATATTGGGAATATAGGGAGGGGGGAGAGAAGGGAAGGCAAGAAAGAAACGGGTGCATAACGGATCGGGGGACTCGTACGTGTCGCTAGTTTCTCGAGCTTGGCCATCGTCGCTGAAATGCTCCTCCCAATCTGCGCCGCCTGGCGGGCGAAATCGGACCGTCTGGGAGTGCCGTCGCCATTTGCGGCAGCCTTTTGTGAGTCGCTCAAAAGCGATCTCCTTTGCGCGCCGACTTTACTGGAAGCCTGGCGACGTTGGGCTTGCGTCAGGACCGACCTGAACTCGGCCGTCCTGTCTTGTATCGATGCCACCGCCATGGTATGTGTACACGGATCGTTGACACTGAATTAGGTCAAGTTGTGCGATGCGGATGTAGCGGGTGAGATGCTAATAGGGCGGCCAGCGCAATCGGTTTGGGGGTCGTCGAATTCAATCACCCAGACGACTGGACGTGCGGTTCGGGTGTTGAAACGGTACGTTGATCGGAAAGGATATCAGGGCGGTAAGATGACGGCGGAATACGAAGCTGTTGTATTAGAGATGCAAGAATGGAGCCTTTCGGTATGGTATTAGGTATTCGGTCGAGTAGTATTAATTATGTCGACGTGGAACGAGAAGAGCTGCACGAGGGTATATATCGCGGGGAACGAAGCAATGGGGGCGACGTGTCTAGTAAAGGAAGTCGACCAGGATTGACAGCCCGGAGGGAAGTCGATGTGTATCTGTGGAGAAAAGTAAAGGAAAGGGCAAGACGGTAGAGAAATAGGAAAGAGGAATGAATGGAAGACTGTCAAGATGAGCTCTAATTAGAGTCAAAGAGGGTTGAGGCGGCCAGGGGTCGGAGGAATGACGGGAAACGACGAATCTGGCAATCTGGAAACTTGGCCACCACGGGCTGTGGCTGGAGATTGATGGACGCGGTTCGGTTTGGTCTTAGGGTCGAAATCCTTAGTAATCCGGTGTTTGTGTCGTGGCTACCTTACTAGGTTAGATACACGGATATGTGTATAAGCTGCGTAAAGCCTGCCATCGTCTTACTCCGTACTTGAGTGAGAGTCTCTGGGACGGTGATTATGTAAGCGGGTAGGTGTCTCATCACAACATCAAGTACGACATGTGAGCGTTCCATCACCGTCTCTGACAGCACGGGTGACCTGGAGGCGTTGATATATTTCGCTCATCATCGCAACCAAGTTTATTTCAGTCGCCCTTCAGTGTCGGTGAACTGAACTCTTGTTTTGTTTGTCCTCTCACTTGTGTCTTATATCCTTCAACCCTGGCCGGGATTCACGTGGGGTAGGACGACTCTTAAAGACTCACGCGAAAGGTGCTTACATTCGGATTGACTAGCACATCCCTACCATCCTACTGTCCTTTTTCAGTTGCGCCTTGCGTTTTGGGAAGCCGACTTCGATCTTCGATTGTGTCGGGAACATTACGGGTGGAAGCAAGCATTGTTGCTCTTTCAGGGTGCATCGTAAGTTCCCTACTGCCCGTCCTCTTTTTTTCTGCACCCTTTGACATATTCAAAACCCATCATCGTATCATGCCCCTTCACAACATCAATCATCAATCCCTACCCTCTGATTTTGCAGCATCTACCTATAAGACACCCAGATTCCTGGCCCATCTTGATTCGTCCTACGACTAACTTGCACCAGCCCTCTGACCGCAGAACACGCAGCACGGCAGGGACGAAGGGCAGGGGAAGGGGAAGCCGGGGGAAAGGAAAGGGCAAGGGCAAGGAACGAGCGAGTCGTTCGGGTTCCCCATCCGGTTCTGTGTCTACTCCAGCTTCTGCGCAAGACCATCCCGCAGGTCCATCTTCGGCCTCGGGACCGTCTCGTGCCATGTCACAACGGAACAGGAGTGGCCGCGGCTCCAACCGGAACAACGGGGGCGGCCATGGCGAGGAGATGCAGCTATGGGAAATGATCAAGGGGCAGATTCACGAGGTGGTCAACGGCATCAACGCGGATAACGACAATCTGCGTGAGCTCCTCAAGTGCGATAAGAAGGCTGCCGTTGCCTCCAAAGACGGCCCGGGCCCGTCTGCCAACGACCTGAGCAAAATGGAGCAGCTGTGCCGCGCCGGCGTGAAGCTGTCGGAGACCAACTCTAACACGATCCGGGCCGCCATTGAACAGCTGACCCTGCTCAAGGCGGTCCAGCAGGCGAACCATAAGGAGGCCGAAGCCCTCGCTGCGCCGACCACAACTTCCCGCAGCGGCGGATCCCGGGTCCGCGAAACCGCAGCGGCGTCTGCTGCGGCGGCGGCCGCTTCGCTTTACGATTTCGATGGCGGGGGCGACTCGCCGGTTCCCAGTCCGATGGGCGGATCGGTTCGCGGGAAACACGGGGACCGAGGTAGCAACCGCGACAGCATCCCTCCCAAGGCCGACAGCGTCGAGCCGCAGGGATCCACAGGCAGCGGGACGGCCGGATCGTCCTCCGGAGCCCTCGGACAGGGTGCGGCAGCTGGCACGGGGGGGGCGGCCGGAGCATTGGGGGCGCCGCGCGGCAAGATCTCCTTCTCAAAGGGCGACAAGGTGGCTTTCAAGCGGAAGAAGGAAGAGCCACAGCAGGGAGAGGCGCCGTACGACTGGATCCTGGGCGAAGTAGTAGGGGTGATCGGAGAAGGGAAAAGCCGACGTTACAAGTGTCTGGATGTGGAGCCGGAGGACCCCAGCAAACATAAGGAATTCAAGACGTTCGCGTCCAACATGATCCCGATCCCTCCCGAAGGCCAAACGGACTTGCCCGCGCCGGAACCAGGGCAGATGGTGCTAGCACTGTACCCGCAGACCACGGCCTTCTACGCCGCGGATGTTGTTGGGACCGAACCGGACGGGGTCACGGTTAACCTCAAGTTCCACGGAGAGAACGATTCGTCAACGACACATCAGGTTGAGCGACGGTATGTCTTGGAGTATCGGCCTTAGGGGCCCGAAATTTAGCCATGTTTCCTTTTCTTTTACTGCCTACCTTTTTTTAGGTCGTTTGGTTTCCGGTTTCGATGTTTAGGCTTCTGGGAGAAGTGGACGGAGTGGCGTATGCGTATTCGTTCGGACCAGACACACCAGCCGATTGACGCATTACCGGTACCTTACCTACTACCTTATAGTAACAGTGTCACCTTATTCGTCCGTTGAGTTCCGATGCTGAACTTCTAAATGGATTAGTAATTCACACTCATAAGAGCTTACCTAACACTTTGTGTGAAGATTCATGTAATTCATATAGGTACCTAGCCATCCAAGCTGGGAACCTGGAGAGGCTGAGATAAACGGGTAATCACCTACCTTAGGTAATTCCGGCGTATCGAGTCGTCCCACAACTCCACACCATAAGGTACAACGAGCCGGTTGGTCAATGGAGAGTACCTTGGAGAAGGCACGCAATGCTTCAGGCGATTACCCTATGCATTAAACAAGGTACGGATAGATAGGGCAGGTACGGATGAGTAGGTTGTACAGTGCTTCGTACTTCGTATTCACTACGTACCTTAAGGTAAAGTAGGTACGAAGTACAGAGTAGTACAGGGAACCCGTACTTCGTGCATGCGGGCTGCTTAGCGTTTGAACCCCTGACAGATGAACCCCACCGCTCTAAACGATTGTCAGGTACGGAGTACCTACCCGACAGGCTACAGGTCGCAGGTTTTGACCGAGAGGAAAAGCAAAGAAATGAACCCCTGACACGCGCCTCCACGTCCATTCTGGGTCTTGGCCCTGACAATCGACAACCCGACCAGCCATTCCACCCCAGCCCCAGGCTCTTCCCCTGGCCTTCTACCCACTGCGTAACCCCCGTCAGTTCCTCGGATCGTTTACCTCGTAATTCGCTAGGTAATTAATTCATACCAACAACCGGTGGTTGTGCTGAAGCAATCAATTAGGGGAGGTTACCATTGTGCCTTCAATTAGCTGCGTCGTTTGCTTGATCAAGGTCTTTTCTTCTTTTCTTTTTTTCTTACCTCCTGGACAACGATAATCGACTACCTTACCTCCCTTCTTCACGACCTGCCCGATTTTGCAATTGAAAGAATCATTTACACATCTTCTCCAGAGAGCATCACAAGGTATCTTTACTCATTGTTTTTGGCGACCCAAGCTCTAGTTCATGGAGAATCCTTTGACTGACCATCTGCGATGCCTAGAAACAAACAAAATTTCCTGTTTTCCCGTCGCCCGAACTATAGCCATATTAGGGCATTAGTCGAATCTCTTGTCATCGATCAGGACTCTACGCAGGAAACGAACGATAAGAGAGGGAGAAAAGACAAAGGGGAAAACCCGTTGCTCTTCGATTATTCGTCGCCCATCAACGAGCCTACTCGCCCTCTCATCACCTAATACCGCTCCCCTTTCTACCAGTAGCCCATTTGAGCGCTCGTCACAATGGGTGGTCAGCTGTCCAAGATGATGGGCAAGATCTTCGGATCTAAGGAGATGCGCCTGCTCATGCTCGGACTCGACGCCGCCGGCAAGACCACCATTCTGTACAAGCTGAAGCTCGGCCAGGACGTCACCACGATCCCCACTGTCGGTTTCAACGTCGAGACGGTTACCTACAAGAATGTCAAGTTCAACGTCTGGGATGTCGGCGGCCAGGACAAGATCCGCCCCCTCTGGAGACACTACTTTAGCGGTACAAATTCTCTCTTTCGCACTCTCCTCCTCCATCTTGTCGAGGAAAGATGGTCAAAGATAACGGAGTTTACGATTCTCCCTTGGTGGCGCTAACGCAATCTTGTCTTTACAGGCACTCAGGGTCTTATTTTTGTCATCGACTCGTCAGACCGTGCACGCATTGAGGAGGCCAGGTCAGAACTGCACCGTATTATCAACGACCGCGAGATGAAGGACAGTCTATTGCTCGTTTTCGCCAACAAGCAGGATCTCCAGGATGGTTAGTTCCGAGCTTTCACATCCCTTCCCCTTATTTCACATGGCGCGAACGAATGCCAAGCCGTACGAAGTGGGAGTCAACGCTGACATGAACACGAACGACAGCCATGAAACCGCACGAGGTCACCGAGGCTCTGCAGCTCTCCAAGCTGAAAGACAAGGTCTGGTACGTGGTGCCCAGCTGTGCCACCACCGGCGAGGGTCTCCTGGAAGGCCTTGCTTGGCTTTCCAATAACGTCAAGGCGCCGCCAGCGCCCGCCAAGAAGTAAAGAGTGAGAAGGGATTGCGCTGGGAACATGCGACCACCGACATGTATCACCATGGGACGACGGATGGTCCGAGAAGTGCATTCGACTCCCCGTTGACGAAATTGATTCCTTGCTTCACCAACTTCTCGTATGTCATTTCGGGGAGCCCTTTTTGCCCGAACACCATACGGCGAGCTTTTTGATTAATGCTTCTCGATCACTGGACGAAAATTCACGCGGGAGAGAACTCGACGTTGGCGGGTGCGTCCCGCCCCTGACAACAGGCTAATGGGGATCCTTCCACCCTTTGGTTCGGAGACGAATGAGAGTTGGAGATGAAAGAGGCGCCATCCAGATTTACAGCGGTTAGGGGAAGCTTGGATGGTATTTGGCACACAGGGACATTCTGCTGCTTCTTGACCGCGGCGAGGATGCCCTATGGTTGGAAATGGAAAAGGGGGGGGGGGGGGGGGGGGGGGGGGGGGGGGGGGGGGGGTTATGCGCCGGACCCCCTGGACTCTTCTCTTGCCCGTGCGGAGGGAGCGAACGCCAGCCGGAGTGGAGGAAGTGTAATATGTGTGTTGGATGGGGACTGGGCGGCGACAAGTCTAAAACTCGTCGTCGTTACATTTCCCCCGCTTCTCCCGCTTGTCTCTTGGTGTCTCTCGATGTTTTCTTTTCTTCTTGCCCTGAATACCCGAGCATTGCTTTTTTTTCTGCGTATTTACTACGACTCGCAAGCCCGAGTACTTAATTAGAACTAGTGAGAATGCTTGGTTGATGAAAACCTGTCGCAGTCTATGGTATCATTTGCCGTGTCTGTGAATAATTACTGTCTTAAGAGAAGAAGAGGAGGGCGAGGAGGCCGTCATTCTTCGACCCCCTTATAGCAAGCGGAACTCCCTAAACCCATACACCCAGCGCCAGGCTCCTACTCATAACATCCTCATTCCCTGTCGTCTCCTGACATTCATTTCATCAGTCATGGGGGGTAGCCCTCATCAAATTAAGGTGTTCGTACAAGGCAGCTACCAGCTGACCCGCAGCCCGCAGCCCGCAGCCCGCAGCATGTAGCCTCTATAACAAATAAACACTCCATGCTGAAGAAAACCGCTGGATCTTCCCGTCATCTCGGATGACCCGACACGGTGTATTAAAGTGTATTAAAGTCCATGAGGAATAGGAAAAGATGGGAGGAAGACCCAGGCAGCGACAATCCCAGCGACGATGACGACTTTCGCCGCGCCGAAGCCGGAGCCGGAGTGCAGTCGGTGGCCCGGTGGGGCGGCGGCCACGGGGATGAGGGGGCGGTGCCACCCGCAATGGGTCGTAATGGGAAAGGTCACGCAGGAATAGTATGTGACCTGCGTGAGACCGTGTTCTCTCAGGTCGGGCGTCGGACGGGGTGGCGCGGCCGCGTCGGCGGGGATGAGGGTGTCGTAGTTGGGAGGACCTGGTGGTGGTGGTGTTGGTGGTGGAGGAGGAGCAGGAGGACCAAGAGTAACAGCGGGGACAATTATAAGTTCTTCGGCTGCGGTGCGTGGTCCTACTGCCGCCGAGAGGGAGGGATCGGGTTGAGGCAGTTGAGCTGAGGGGTTTTGAGGTGTCGCTGTTGTCGCTGTTGTCGCTGTTGTCGCTGTTGTCGCTGTTGGTGTCGGTGTCGGTGTCGTTGGAAGCGCAATGCTTGTGGCTATGAGGACGGCAAGAAAGAAAACACGGAGAAGACGACAATTCCGTGCCATCGTGTGGATGGATAATCGGCAATGTCGGTGTACACGATCTCTTGGAAGGTGAGCCACGTTGGTAGTATATGTTGTCTAAATACTCCTCTCTGATCGGATGACGCCCATCTGGGGAACAGGATGACGATATATGGACACGAAGTGCAAAGACGAGGTTTATGACATGCGATCAAAGGAGATATAATGAGCGCAGGCGGTGAGTTGGAAAACGACAGAGCATAAGACAAAGACAGAGCAAGCGATATAAAGAGATGGATATAAAGAGGTGATACACGGCCCGCGATGCATCTTTAAATATAACGGGAGGAGGGACGGCCAACCCATCCACTCGCCCAGAGGCTTCACCTCGTTGAAGCGACCATATTTCCCAATGAATCATAGAAGACGCGGGGAAGGAGGGGAGAAATGGAGTAGCGTTGGATGAGATGTTCGTCTGCACCAGAGGAAGCAAAAAGTTTCCTACTAAGTAGTTAGCCTCGATTACCAAGAGAGTTCACAGGAATAAGTCCAAGTCGGGTGAAGCTCAGGTAGTGTCTATATGAGTGGTGCAGAAGGATCGAGTTCTGGCAATGAAAATCGACCATGTCTGTCAGATGTGTTGGACAGTCAGTACGAATTAATGGCTGATGATGGGAGACGTATCCGGTAAGTCGCCAGTCTCGTCCATCTTGTCGTGATTGGACGACTGTTATAATAGCATACATGATGCAGGGTAAAATCCGTACCAGTCGCATATGCATGGAGATGGCATCGGCATCTCATGGCCATCCAGTCGACTTACACTGGGCCTATTTGAGAACCGAGCCACACCCCCCACAACCCATAGGAAAACCAAGGCCCAAGATGCCCAGACAAAGAATATCTGTAATATTAATTGTCCTTTCAGACTTCTATTTCCCTTTGGTGGCCACAACACACATAATACATACGGGTATCATAGCAAACAAACGCCGCTGCCTCCCCTCAACCCTCCCACAGACCAGCCGAACCAGAACATAAGCCACTGCACCCTGCGAAGTAGAAGGAACAGGAAAAAGACCACCTAGTACCAACCACGTCCCGCTGTTTTGTTCTTGGCCGGCGCGCTCACTGCCCGCATCGTCCCTTGTTGCCTCGTGCTCGTATTCGTGTTCGTGCCCGCGCTCGCACCCTGCTTCCTCTTATTCCTCTTCTGCACCCATCCACCTCCTTGAGGTAGACTGTCCTCCGTGTAGTCGCCGTCTATGTCGTCCTCCGCGTAATCTTCAAAAACCTCTGGTTCCGACGAACTTTCCGACTAAAGGGTCACCACCTGCGACCCTGGTGGTATCTGAAACCCCGGACTCTGCCGCGGCTTCGCATCGACCTGAGTTCCGGAGAGTCGCTCAGTTTTGATATTTCTTTGAGGAAGAGGCGGGCTGCTCGGCAACGACCTGGCAGGTTGCGACGCATTGGGGAAAAGCTGTTTCTTGGTTGTTGTGGACGAGCCATTCCCCTCTTCCTCCTCTTCCTCCCCCTCCTCCTCGCCCTCCTCACCCTCCTCCTCGTCATCCATCTCGTCAATGCGCCGCATTTCTTCATCGTACTCCTTGTCTTTCTGAGAGGCCATATTATTTCGCACTTTCGAACCCGAGTCGAGAGAGCCTCGCTTCACGGGGCTCTGTGTGCTTCTAGACGTCGGAGCTGTGGCCCAGATTTCGTCGATGGACGGAAACGGCGAAGACTCGGGGTGACCCGGAGACGGCTTGATGGGAGTCTTGGGAAGATGCTCTGCCTTGGGCGTCATCTCCCGCGACCCGGCATATTCTCCTGTTTCCTCGAACGGCATGGGTGAAGTATTTCCCAAATCGATGCTAAACGCCGGGTCAGGCTGCCTGCCACTGTGAATGCTGCTAGCCCCCTCCGATGGTAAGATGTCCTTACCCTTGGGAGGAGATTCCGATGTGCCTGCAGCGTCGTCCAGGTACTCTTCGCGATGCTGTTCTTGTTGCTGTTGCTCCTGTTTTGTGTCCTCGTCCACCTCCATATCCTCATCTTCGCCGCCAATGTAGCCCTCATCGTCAGGATCGCGACCATCCAAGTCGGGGGAGCTGCCAGACCCGGGGCTGGGTGCCTGTTCAGAGCTGTTCACCATCACCGACATTCCCTCCGGCTCTTTGAATGGACTACTGCGGATTCGTGACCTGGAAGGCGTTGAAGTTGAAGCCCTCGTATTGTCGACAGGGACAGGGGATGACGATCTGAACGGATCATCGTCTCGCTGTGCGCCAGCGGTTGCCCCAGTGGCGTCCTCCTCGGAAGCACGCTCGCTCGTCGCCGGGGACCCGTTCGCGTTGCTGCCCCTCTCTCCCGCACAATCCTGGTCCTGATACGTGTCAGGCACGACGCTCTCGGTTCGACTGTTCTGCTCCTGACGATGACGATCGCCGGGCGCTCCGTAGTCTTTCAGGGGCTGTTGGACAATCATGGGTTCCATCAGCTCAGAGTACTCCTTGTTCCGATAGCCGTCGTCGACCGCATCGCCATCTTCTTCATCTTCATCCTCCGTGTCAGGCGCCTCGAACCGGTCATACACACGCTCGCCGGTCTCCTCATCGTACACCTTCTCAATCCTATCCATTCCTCTGTCCCTTTTAGCGAGCAGCAGGCGGAACCGGGTGCCGTCCTCGGCCTCTACCTTAACCACAACCGCCACGATGTTGGCGAGCTGGGGTTGCCAGTTGGTAGCAGAGGAGAGCAGCCATTCCTTCCAGGTGATCACCATGCCAGGCTTGGCATCTCCAAGTGGGAGAGGCGATAACGTCGAGAGGTCTGACGGAAGTGACGGTAGGTCGTCAATATCAGACATCTGACTTTCAGCTGCCATCGTTGACTGCACTGGACGTTCCTCTTCCTCTTCCTCTTCTTCCTCTTCTGCCCCTCCTTCGTCTTCTTCGTCGTCGTATCGAATGGCTGTGTCGTCGTATTCGGTTTCATCGTGCTGTTCTTCTACAGCGGCTGGTTCGTCAAAGTCGCTGGCCGTCCTTTGCTTCTTCGCAGCCACAGAGCCGCCGTTCTTCGCCTCTTGGTAGAACTGACCAGAGTTCCTCTGTGCCCGTTTCCGCTTGCCTCCCCTGCCGTTCTTGTTGGATCCGTAATGATAATGACTTCCATGCTGCTGGGGATCCCATCGCTGCACGAAAGGGAATGGCGGCTCCGAGAGTTCGATTCCCTCGTCGCAACATTCCACGGCGCGATAGTTGATCTTCTCTCTCCATGCCTCTGGGTCTTCTGCTTGCTCCTCTTCCCCCTCTCCCTCTTCTTCCTCGGATTCCTCTCTTGGGCCTTCATCCTCCCGGATCGAGTCTTTCTCGACGGAAGCCGAAGGCTCTGTAGTGCCTACTTGTGCGGACAGTGTGGAGCTGGGATTGCGCAGGTTCACATGCGGCCGAACATTCTTCATCAGGTCCTTTCGCAGCTTATCTTCCTCCGCCTTAGATTTGGGGTTCCGAAGGCCCAAGGCCCCGAAGAGCATCCTGCGGCCAGCACTCGTGTCTACCTTGACGCGATTCCGCCTGGCAGATGACGTCCCGTCGCCTTGGCTCTCAGCCACCGTTTCAGGATCCTGCGGTGCCTTCTCAACAAGGACAGAATGAGAAGCCTGCTGTTGGTCTTGTTGATTTTGCGCAGAGTTGGTCGGCTCGTCATCTTCCATCATAGCTAGGAGAGCTTGCTTCCTAGCAAGGAGCTCCGCTTCCTTCTGTTGCCTTGCCTGCTGCGATTCCGGGGGCGCGCCGGACGAGGCCACCCCGGGTATGCCCTGTCCACGCCCATCGGTCAACTTCTGAGAGACAGTGTTGGTCTCCCCAGTCCCTGACGCAAACCTCTTGGCTAGTCTCCGTCGCAAGTTTCTTCGCTGGGTTTTACGTAAACCGCTTCCAGGAGGAGCCGTGGGTCGGTTGCTGGCTGTGGTATTTTCTGCGACCGCTGTCACGGCTGGGGTGGACTTGGTAATCGCCTGGCTTTGAAACTGCTTTCGTATCGACTTGCTCGTCATCTCCTCAGGCTCCGAGTCAGAGCTCATGTCCGAATCGTCCTCGCTTTCCTGGCTATCATCGGAACTCTCTTCGTCGCTCTCCTCGCTCTCCTCTTCGCTGCTAGTGCTCGCGTCAGACGAGAGTTCAGAAAGGTCGGGTGCTGTAGAGGACTCGTGCTCCTTCTGCCTGGGGTGTCGCACGACCGTGTCGTCATCGGTCGAGTCCGAAAGAGAAGACGAAGACAAGGAGGGGGCTGGAGAGGAAGTTGAAGATCGGGAAAGTGCGTCCGAGGCATTTTCATTCTCTTGTGTGGGATTAAAGGTGGAATCACCATCCACATCGTCGTCCGGACCTGAACCAGAATTAGGCTGAGAGATCATAGATTCAGCATGATTTGCATTGCGCAAACGCTGCTTTATGGCCTCGCGAGTTTGCAGCCCGGAAATTGAGCCTGTATCTGAGCTCGAAGAAGTTTCTGACGATGATGATGATAATGAGTCCGCGTCGTCACTCGCCTCTTTGTTATCATGTTGGGGTGGGAATTTCACGTTCGCAGGTTGTGTGGCCGAGGCCGGCTTTCGTCTGGTGCTGCTCAGTCGATTCGGCGTCTCCTTGGCAGGCAGGGGATCGACAACCTGTCTTGCCGAGCTACTGAAAGTGACGGACAATTGATGATCGAGCATGTCCCCGAAATCCATGGAGGGTCTATGAGCCGCACTGAGCTGACGGTATGCTCTCTGGATGTCCTTACCGTGCTTGGTAACTGCTTCCTCGCACAACGAAACAGGTGCAGTTGGGAAAGCAGCTCGCAGAATGGCTATCTTGTCGAGAGTGTCCAGATCCATCAGCGGCCGCGCAGGCGGAGAGGAAGCATGTACAATCTCTGAGGTTTCCAAGTGGTGGTCCATGGAGTAGGCTTCGTCGGCGGCTTCATCTCCTAGCGCCACATTTTCCTCGCGGATGTCGTGTAGCTCGTCGAGCAAGTCCTCTTGGTCGATGTCTAGATCAGCATCTCCGTCCGAATCGTCCTCGTTGTCGGGACGGAATTCATCGTCCTCTGCCTCCTCTGCCTCCTCCGACTCTTCTGCACCGTCGTCTTCCACGTTTTCTCGGCCCCGTTCCCAATGATTATGTCTTTCGTAGTCATCGCGATTGACATCTGTGTCATCAGAGTCCACAGCAATCCTGACACGCTTTGAGGATCGTCGGGTAGAATGGACGCGGCCTGAGGAGGTTGCCAGCCCGGGAAATTCTAACAGGAGCGGAGAATCTTCCTCATTCGCATCATGCTCGTCTCGATCAGCATCGTCGCCCGCGTCGTCGAGAATTCTTGCTCGTTTTCGAGGTGGGAGGGAAACAGGGGGACGGTCGCGTGGGAGTCTAAGCCAAGGCCGGCCAAAGGCTACGCCGTCGACGAGGTGTTTGCCATCGAAGGAGATCTGGTGTCGGCCACTGAGGCGTCGGCGCTTGAGGTCGTCGGTGAGAAGCGAGCGGATACTAAAAGGAGGCAACCCGTCAGCGAACCGGTTCAAACGGAGGCAGAATACTATGGCTGGGGGGTTGGGAGGAAGGGGGCATGAAGATGAACGTATCAACATACATGACCTGGTCATCGTTATTTAGTACCTTGGGCACTGACTGAAAATGAAGGCACTCAAAGGTAGAGCCATCGGCAGCCCTCAGCTCGACTGCATAATCTTCGAGACCCCATTCTCCACTCTCAAGAGGGACGACCTCGTTTACTTGGGCGACAAGCTTGGAGATGGTGAAGTCCGGGTCGGCAGGAGCAGTCCAGACGAGCTTGACCTCGGGAAGACCATGGCGGCGTATGACCAGCCGTAGCCGCAGCTCATTGTCGGACATAGTGGCGTGCTGAAGTGAGAGGAGTCGTTATGGATGGACCTTGGGGCAGAGCCGAGGTGAAACGTCTTGTCAGGTCATGAGTTGAAAGAGAGATGACGCGTGGTCGACGAGCTTCGCGAAAGAAATGTAGCACGAATTATGCGATGGGTATTATTGTAAAGTCTGTATTCCGCGTTGTAGCCACGAATTGGTGTCTCGACGAGGTGTGGTGTATGTACGGTGTATACAGATATACAAAGTATTAAAGGTGATAATGGAAGAAGCAGGTGAGGAAATTTGAAGTGGAGAGAATGGTGCCTGCACGGAGTAATATCCGTACGTGTACTTCGTACGGGCCCGACGCGTGGGGTCGCGTACGTTGTAGAACTGAGGCCCAAAGAGACTTTTGCTCATGTCACGATAACGATAACGATAAAGATAACGGGACCCGGTTCAACTTCCACCTTGTTTGTATCCAGGTACATAATTACGTCGTCCCAATACCGCTACCTTACGGACACAAATACTTCGTACAAATCAGGTACCTATATAAAACTCAAACTCCAAGAATTACTTAATGCCTGGTAATGATTACCAACTAGCCCTGATTCCGAGTTGCAGCATACCCCGAAGTTTTTTTAGTGTCTGTGCTTTTCATCTGAGGTCAAAGGTGCATCCGTAGTTCAGCAAACATAGGCACCTCCTAGCTAAATCACTTCGCCTTCGAATGCAAACCCGAGACGTAAATCTCGCTGTTGCTGCAGTACTGACCTACGAATGGCGGGGAATCTCTTAGTGTCGGGGGGTTTCCCCCCCCTCGAAGGGCGGGGGATAGACAGTAACAAACCGCTCGGAGACCCCAGAAGCCGCCTCAAAAGTCCTGGATGCCCGTCTCCCCCATCTTCACGGCACGAGGATACTCTTCGTCGTCTTCAGGCTCACTGGCCCACCTGGGCTGTTCCTCCTCAAACCAGGCATCCTCGGCGTCGCGGCGTTCCAGGACATCATAGCTGTCGTCCAAGTCGACAGCATCGTAATTGAAGTCATCGTCCTGCCCGTGGACGAATCGGTCCGTGAGGAACTCGATCCATCTGCTTTTCGCCTCCTCCTTGGAGTGCGGAGTGGGAAGGTCGGGGTCGAAGGCGCTGCTGGCGCGATTCGGCCTCGCATTGGATTCCAGAACGTCTGCACTGTCCGGCGACGACGCCGTCCTGTCGTTCTGGCTCGGACCCGTCTCCTCGTTCGGTTCGCTTGCAAGCTTAGCTAGCCTCGCCTCTCCTCGAAGGAGATCTGCTTCGAGGACGCCGGAGTACCCTTTACGTTTGCCCTCGGCCTCCCTTTCAGCAGGCGTCTGAAACGTGCGAATCAGAGAGTCATAGAGCAGAGGAGCTGTAGGAAGAGTGTGAGGACTTAGATCGCTTTGGTGCCCGGTTCCCGACGCAATGACTCCTACCAGCTAGTTCATGTTCAGAATTGTCAAAGTAGTCGGGGCGCTGTTCGAGATAGGCACGCCGGCGATTCCGCTTGCAAATCTCCCCCGCCGCGCCCGGGGACCTGGGGGGTCTAGGGATGGGTCTCTCGAATGATGCAAATGTGGATGAGGACGCGGACAAGGCGAATGCACCATTGCCCCTGTTGTGATTCTCATGCCGAGCTGGGACAGAAGGTGATGTGACAAAAGGCATTTTGGAGGGTTCAAGTTTCAGCCCGCTTTTGTTGGACTCCCTCTCTCAAAATGCTTGTGTGATAAAATGGGAATATGGCAGTGGCCCGGAGAACTGTATTAAGATCAGTGCAGATGCTCCGAATGGCTGGAAAGTTATAAGACGGTTGAAAGATGTACGGTTAGCAATGACCCCTAGTTTGTAATTACCTACGTACAACGTACTGACCGATGGTACTGAGTTTGGAGAGAGATGTTCACAATCGGCGCGGAAAAGCATAACGCCGCCCCGCTGTCCTGTGTTCTCACCGAGCATTTCTCACCGAGCATTTCTCACCGAGCATTTCTCCCTCCTGGCCATTGCCCTCACCGTTCAATAATTTTTTTTTTAATTCATTACGCGCATACAGCCCTAAAGCTATAGCGCGGCGCCTATCGCCCTAAGGGCTAGAGTCTATAAGAAGCTAGGTACAGTAAAATAGAGCGTACTACACAAAGGAAATCCTCCGTAATAATCTGCCTAATAAAACCTAATAGGTAAAAAACCAAAGTGATATAACTAGACCGTAGGAATCGTGGTTTGCGCCCTATACTACTCTGCCGAGGCTATTTTAGTAGCTAAAAGGTAGGCCTATAAGGCCTGTATTTCTTTTTTAGTACTAAATAATAGCGGCAGACATAGCGGTAGGCCTACTAGGGCTTCCCACAGGGCTCTTCGTTCTTCTTTATAAAAAGGGTATAAAAGAATAAGGTGTGCTGTATCCTGTATAGGGGAGCCGGGATAGGAATAGCGGTCGTTAGCGTAGTTTTAGGCCCTTTTTAGTGGGTTTTTAGGTATCCGAAGCCGGTTTTTAACTGCATAAAAGCCGATTTTACCCACCTAGGGCCTTATATAATACGCCCTAGATTCTACCAGGAACACCAGGGCGTACCACGGGGTACCCTAATAATACTATAGCTTATACTATAGCACCTATAAGGTACGCTATAGGTACATTTAAGGTATACTATAGCTTCTCTAGGGTACGATTAGTGAATACCGGGGAATCCCCCGGGTTTCTATACGTAAAAGCCGAGGATTCCACGGGGTTTACCTATAGATACTTAAGTCCCGGGGGCGCGCCCCCTTAGCTTAGACAGGATATCTTTATTACACCGTATTTTCTATACCTAAAGGTCACCCCTCGAGAAAAGTCTGGCTTATAGGTCCTATAGTACTAGCTGGCTAGGGATTTACCGGTCAGGCATATTATTATATTAGTAGTGGCTTTCGGGAGAAGCGGAGGTTATCACGGACTAGTCGCCTATATAGGCGGCCTAATTAAACCGATTAACCTCTCTTCTTTTCCTCCTCTTCGTGATTCTATAGAGTCATCTAGTCTTAAATAAGAGCTTTATTTACCCGGCGTTTTAGGTAGCTAAGGGTAACTAAGCTAACGGATTTAGTAGCTTTTTCGGGGTTTAATACCCTTTTAGCCACTTTATCCGTTAGCTCGTTCCCTTCTATCCCTATATACGAGGGGCACTACTAGATAGATACCGAAATGCCTAGTTATTTAAGGCGTGAAATAAGGCTTTTAGCTTCTATAGCCCACTATAAGGTGCGCTAAGGCTTCTAAATAGCCGCCTAAGAATCACTAAAAATATAGCACTCCAGGGGCCTAGGCGTCTACTCTAGGGCAGCGTAAAGGGCCTAAAGAATAGCGTATAATTCAGCGTCCGCGACTTCGGCAGCGGCCCCTAGGTTAAAGCCTATAGCTTTACAGGGCCTTCCAGTATTAGTCCACTATTTCAATAGCGGCTACAGCCTATAAAGGCCCTCTAGGGGGTCTAGTAAGGTGGCCTAAAGACCCGTCGGTATAGAAAATAGCAGCCTATTCCCCTAGGCCTTACTGAATTTCGGCTAGGGCTTCGAGGTGGGCTATTTTCTGATCGGGGGTATCAGGGCCAGGGTCGGTATCTATTTTAGACCGGTCCTTAAAGGGGAAAAAGGGTCTTAGGTCCGCTATAGGTTCCGAGGCCCAGGGGGGCTCCCACCTAGCCGAAGGACCCTCGATATTCTAAGACTAACCTACTAAAGTCACTATTTCTAGGCCTAGCCTATATAGCTATATACTAGGCTATAGGTTCTAGAGAAGGGCGAGGTTTTCCTGATTTTTGTCCCCTGGCTACCTTTGAACGCTAGTATAAAGCTGGCGTTTAATAGGGTGGTTTAGTAGACACTTTAAGGCCCGAAAGGCATAGAGTCTATTAGACCTAGTTAACTAAACCGCTGCCGGGGGGACTGCTGCTTCGAGTTCTAGAGATCGTAAGGGGGCCCCTCTAAAAGCCCCTAATACCCTAACTAAAGCGCTATACTATAGGCGTTCTAGGCGGTCTATTAGGTATTTTTTCAGTGATTTTAGGTCCTACTAGAGCTACGAGCCGAAATCAGCTAAGGAGGCTATACAGGCTATATATAGCTACCGTAGAGCCTTAAAAGAAAGGCCCCTCTACGAGCTAGCTAGCCTATATAGTCTGTTTAGGGCTCCTAAAGCTAAGTTTAGGCGTTTTTCGACATAGGGTTTAAAGGATAGCTTCGGATTAAACTAGACCCTAAGCCACCTAATAGCACCCAGCGCTAGTTTAACTAGGTGCCCCCCTATAATAACCGGAGTATCTTCTATAAAGCGTTTTCGGTAGAAGTGAATAAGCTCTGTTTTTTCAGGGTCGAAAAGGACTTAGTTAACTTTTACTGCGTCGAAAAGGGAGGCTACGGCTTTTTCTAGGGTTTTATAGTTTTTTCTAATCGACGTAGACGCTATAGATAGCTAAAAATCATCGATATAGGATAACTAAAGACCCTAAAAATCCGGTCCCGTTATAACCTTCCTAATATAAATCGGGAAAAGGATAAGGGAAACCGGGGAGCCTTATAGAACCCTTATATTTAGGGGGGTAGGCTACCAGACCTGCCCCTCGAAAGCTAGTTAGATTCGCCTATTTTCTGTAAAAGAGGCTACCTATTTAACTAGGTTCGAGGATAGTTAGAGTTCCTAAAGGGACCTAAGTAGCTAGGGACGGGCGACGTGATCAAAGGCTTCTTTAATATCTAAAAACAGCGTAGAAATCACAGGATTTTAGCGTGATTTACGCTGTTTTTCGATATAGTGGAGGAGGAGGAGGGCTATATCGATAGTAGAGCGTTATTTTCTACCCCCTATTTAACTAGAGTGTAAAAGGTCGTCGCGGGTATTAGCTATAAAGCTAAGCCTAGCAGTTATACCCCTTTCGAGGACTTTACCTAGGCAGTTTAGAAGGGCTATAATCCTATAAGACTTAGGATTAGAATAGTCCTTCTTTCCCGGCTTCGGTAAAACGACCCCTAAGGCTTCTTTCCAGCAGGTAGGGTGGTAGCCTGCTATAAACATTGCTATATAGGCTTTTAAAAAGAACCCGGGGATAACCTTATAGGCCTGCTAGATCGGCTTTAGACTAATCCTATCAGGCCCTAGGGCTTTCCCCTTAGCAGCACCAAATATAGCGCGTTATAGTTTGGTAGTCTAAAGGCTAGGCCACTCCCACGGTCTTCTAAGGCCCTTACTACGTAATCTAGTCAGGCTCTAGGGGCCGGTAGAAGGGTAAGAGGGGCCTAGGTCCCCTAAAGGGCCTATAAATACAGGGGCTTCGGGGGCGTCGGTGGCGGAGGGTATAGGAAAAAGGGTCTGAAGTAGGGCGTTGTATTTATCTTCGAAGGCGTAGGCCTTCTACTTCGTAGGCGTTTAAATCGGTGGGATTTTCGTACTAAGGCCGCTTTTCGTATAGTTATAGGCCTTAAAGATTCCAGGGCCTTCGGCGTGGGCTAGGAAGGCTTCTTAGTGGTCGTTTTTCGCTGTTTTAACCGCCCGGTAGTAGGCGTTTCGAGCTTTTTTCTAGGAGGCTTCTAAAGGCGCCTGGGTGGCCGAGGCCCCCTTTTTTGCCTTTCGAAAAGCCCTAAAAGCCCTATTAGCTGTTTTTCGCAGGGCTTTTAGCTCTTTAGTCCACCACAGCTTCAAATGCCCTACTACCCGGAGCTTAGGCACTAAAGCCTTAAGCGCTAGGGTATTAGTATCCTAAAGGCAGCGGCCTAAAGAATCCTAGTCCGAGGCGTTAATAGCCTATTAGATATCCTGGTCGAGGCTAGGGTCTAGGCTCTTTAGGGTACTAGAAAGCAGGTCCTAATCTGCTAGCTTATAGTTATAAGCCGGCGGGAGGGACCTATTTATAGGACCTTTAGAGTCTAAGATAGTAGCCGAAAGGAGGATAGCGCGGTGTAAAGAGGTAGTGTTTTCGATATATTCCTATTTATCGAAGTGGAGATAATCGAAGCCGGGCGTGTAAAAGGCTAGGTCTATAACCGACTCTTAACGAAGATTAGACCTAAAAAAGGTCCCCCCGTTTAGGTTAACCTCTTCAGAATCCACTAAATAGATAGCTCTAAGGCTATCTAACCAGTCTACTAGAGCCTGGGCCCTAATAGAAGCCTGGTTAGTAGCAGCTCCGTTCCACTACTAGTGGTTTCTGTTAAAGTCCCCTATAATAAGGGTAGGCTTAGGGATCTATAGGCCCTATAGCACTCGATCCTCGGTCTAGAGCCGGCTTCTAGGGCCTAAAAAGGAGGGGAAAGAAGAAGAAGAAGAAGAAGTGGAAGAGGTAGAAGGGGTAGGGCTAGGGGGCCGCCCTCGGCCTATCGTTTTAGGGTCCTATTCTATCTAATTATAGACGTGTAGAATATAAAAGGTTTATGGATAATAAACCTCCATAATCTACGCGTCTATATTGTCTAGAAGGTCTTCGTGGTGTGAAAAATCGATACTAGAGCCCTTTCTTATATAAGTAAGGACCCTAGGCTTAATAGGGAAGAACTGGGCTTTTTAGGATATAGGCGTAACGGTATAGAAAGCAGGGTGGTTTCGGATAAACCACCCCTCTAGTATTGAGACGTAGGCTAGTTCCTAAATAAGGACTATATCAGCCGAAGTCTCTAAGGCCTATTCTAGGATAGCCTCTTACGCCGGGACCTATTTATCGATATTATATTAAATAAACCGGATATTTTTCGAACTAAAAGGCCCTTTATTTATGGAATTTAGGGTTTTATAGCTTAAAAGACCTCGTAGTCTCTGCAAAAAGGGGGGTAATCCCCCATATAGTTATAGCACTTATAGGTCTTATACTCGTAGTCTCCGTATTCTTTATACTCGTTATAGTAGTGGTATTCCTCCCCGTGGCCTTTAACGGCATAGATAGGGCAGGAAACTAGGCCTTTATAGGTTTCTCGGGTATACCCGAATTTCTAGCAGTTAGAGTACTGGGTTCTAGGGGTTATAGGCCTATATTTATAGACCTTTAGCCGCTGGCCGGCTATATAAAGCCCCTGTTTTAGGCAGTACTTCTATTCTTTAGTAGAGAGTATAGAAATAACCACTATACCGTAAAACGCGTTTAGAACCCCTAGCCACCGAGGCTTTCCTACTACCCTAATAGGGTTAAAGGTGCCGATTTCAGTAGCTAGGTCCTATAGGCCTAGGCCCTATTATAGGCTTCGGCTTAGGGCCTTTTACGGCGGTATAGACGGATCGGGTGGGGGGGTATCGCTACCCCTAGCCCTAAAGGCTCTAGAAGGCACCTATTTAATAATAAGCTTAAACTAGTCGCCTATAGGCTAGGGGGGCTGGAGGGGGAGGTTTAGCTCTTTAAACCACTAATTCTGCGAGTCTAGGAGCTATTAAACGCTGTATTTCGGCCCCGGGGTTATAATAAGGTTCCCGTTAGTCGACCGGCTAATAGCCGTAACTGCAGGGAATTTTAGGGCCTTATTAAGCTTATTCCGAAGCGCGAGGGGGTCGAAGTTATCCCTAGGAATCGCTGCCCCTACCGTAGGTTAGAGGACAATCTTAAGAACCTTTTTAGGGTCTATAGGGAGGGGTGCTATAGGGCCTTTTTTCCCCTTTATAGCCTCGCTATAAAGGGGTTTAGGCTATTCTGTAAGCCTATAAACTGCCTAGGCTAGTTCGTCGACCTTCTATTCGAGTATAGGAGGCTAGGGGGCTTCTAGAGCTCCGTCGATAGTAGATTTAAGCCCTACGGATAGGGCTTTAATCTGGGGGGAAGGGTCGAGGGTATAGGCCTATTAAAGTAGCTAAAGAGCCTATTAGAGTGATTCCTTAGCCTATACCTTACTAGCCAAACTAATCGACTTCTAGGGCTTAGCCGAGGTTTCTTTAGGGGCTTTAGCTATTCCGGGCGTCTTTTTAGCCTATTTAGAGCCTAAAAGGCTCGGGTTTTCGGCAGGGGGGGCCCTAGAAGCAGGGGGGCCCCTAAAGGGCGTTTCGAAAGCGCCTTCGGCTTCCGAGTCCGAGGGGGATTCGATTCGGGTCCTAGAAAACCGTCTAGAGGTAGGTGTGGAAGGGCTAAGGTGCCTTTTCGAATTCAGAGGCGTAGTAAGGGTTAAATCCTCTATATTTTCAGAGGTATTACCTATATCTACCTCCCTAAGACCCTTTATAGTTATAGGGGCTTTAGGGGGGGCGTTAGGGGCGTTAGGGGCGTTATTATGGTTAGCTTTATGGCTAGTGGGTTATTGGTTATAGCGTTATGGTTAGGTGGAGGTCGGGGGTGCGGCTTTGCGCGGCTGCTTTGTCAGCGTGGACGTACGGACCACGTCAGACTTTTCCCCCGTACGCGGGGGAGCAGGCCCGTTTCTAGGCATTTTCGCACTTATAATACGCCTAAATTAGCGCCTACGCGGAATAGGGCTATAGATAGGCGTATAGAGCTTAAGAAAGGGCTATCGATTGATATAGGTTTCGAGTGGTTTAGAGCGTTTGCGCGTAAAACGTAGGTCCCCCCACGTGAGTTGTAAGAAGGATGCGACCGTTCAATATATATGCTCTGTGAATCAAGAAAACGACGATCACCGATGACAACGGTCCATACTTGCCCATCTACCTCATACTTAGGACACAGAACACAATCTGAACCGCCCACCTTGACAACATTCGGCTTTCGGAACATGTGATGTCTCTGTTTCGACGACTCTTTGCCTGTCTTTGCTGCTCCCGCTATTTGAGCAGGCATTCGGCCATTGACAACAGGTAGAGTAAGTGAAGTGGTAGGCGCTCGGACCAATGCGGCTCCCGAGACTTTGAAACTTGCATGCCTCTATCCAAAGGTCATTGAGACGGGAAGGAGGCCCAGATTGCTTCTCGTTCATCTTTCTTTCCTACACGACAAGGGCAGCGGTGCCAGCACCCTCTTCCTGTGGAATTCAACATAGGGGGATTCTCGACGAAGCGTACATTTTTCCTATTTTCCTGGGCCAACAGAAATATCACCCCTCGGGGCCCAACTGATTGATGAATTGCGATTGCTGGTCTCTCAGTATCCGAGTTATTCCTCTTCCCGCCCTGGGTCCTCCCCCCCAGTAAGAGGACAATTATCACAAAGACCGCGCCTCAGTCAATAACTCTTCAGACATTCCCTTATCTGTCTGCCTGGGCAACAAACATGTCACCGCTAGTCAATGCACTTCTCTGCCGCTGGCATCGACATCTGGGCCTTGCCCGACATTCCCCCTCATGGTACCGAGACCGGCTACGCGAAGAGCTGCGGGAGCGCCGCCAGGCAGAGACATACCTTCAGAGGCTCAGCGAGACCTCTGACGTCTTGTACGCCATCAGCCGAGGCCATCATGACGGTTTCCCCGTGAGGAACCTGCCCCCATTTTCCCTCTCTCGCCAAGGCCTCGCCTATGCCTACTTTCTTGGGAAATACACCTCCCGGTGGAAGTTCTACCGCGTCGCCGCACGCCTCTGTCACATCCCCGACTACCGCTCGGTCCGCGAGGTTGTGAATCCTGCAAGAGATTCCAAGATCCTTGAGGTGGCTTCCCGCCACGGTATCGACGGCGCCCAGTTCCTGGCTGTTTGTCGTCGCCTGCGCCGCAGGTGGCCGCTGCTTCCGTAAGAGAAGGGCAAGGCCGCGGGGAAGACGCGTCAGATCATTAGGAGGGAGCGACATCGGTCCTGATAGGCAACGAAACCAGTTTTCCTCTTTTCTTTCCATGCAAGAGCAGAGTCTGGGTGGAAACATCAAAAGTGGAGGGCCTCCCGCGCGAGGTTATTGGAGTCGTGTAACACCTCTCGCTTTTGTCTTCCCAGCCTATTGCTACGCTGAAACCCCCCCAGGGCTCGCTCTTTGCTTTCTGGATTGCCCCCTGATGTCACAAGACGAATTAATTTGCGATGCCTTCGGGAAACAGCCTGCAAGCAGCCATATGGCGAGAAAGGAGATGGATTTGATAGCCTGCCGTTTGGGCTGGGTTGAGGAACCATGCATTGGTGGCCTTGTTGTTACCCAACAACCCCTTTATGTGCCCCTTGGTCTGGCTATTTGATAAATAGCCCGTATGCCCCCTAGACGAGAGAGCTGTGGCAATAACTCGCCTATATTCAAGGTCTCTCCCGATACTTAAGATCTCTCCCGGTACTTCTGATCACTGCGGTTCTATATCCTAAACACCTGGCAGACAATGGACGGTCTCAAAAACTTCAAAATTCCCGTCGTGGGGCTCTATGGTGTCCCTGGTTCGGGCAAAAGCTTCCTCATCCGCCAACTCAAGGAGCAGCTCGGGGAGGGAGTGTTCCGCTTCTTCGAGGGCTCCGATGTGATTGCCTCTCTGGCCGAGGGTGGCCTCGAAGGCTTTCGACGCATGTCAGATGATCAACAGAACACTATTCGGCGGGCCGCCATCAGCAAGATTCAAGAAGAGTGCGAGTTTCTCGGACGCGTCGGAGTCGTCGCCGGCCATTTCATGTTTTGGACGGAGGGGGGAAAGGAGGGAAACCAGGTTATCACGCCTATGGATTTGGCCGTTTTCACGCACATTTTCTACATTCATGTCCCTGCCGAAGTCATCTCCCAGCGCCGCTTGTCAGACAAAGAGAGAGATCGCCCGCCTGCCTCTGTTGACCATCTCCGCAAATGGCAAAACACTGAAGAAGCCCGTCTCAGACTCCTTTGCCGCCAGAACCGAATCATTTTCACCGTCGTGCCCCATCATACGTGCTTAGCCAACAGGATCTCGGTACTCCTGCGCAATGTCGCTTCCCATACGGAAGAGAACAACATGGATCGGGTCCAGAAAAGGCTAGATGCCATCGTGCGAGCTGCCAACAACCGGGGCCGCATCCATCGCATGCTTGTTTTCGACGGGGACAAGACTCTGGCTCCTGTGGATACCGGGGCTTTGTTCTGGAAGGCAGCGTCAGCGGCTGGTGTAGTCGAGACAGACGAGATCCAAGGCTGTCCCCTGAAGGCCTTATTCGGCAGTCCAATGGGTTATTCGTACGCCGCCTTCCGCCAGGCCTCTTTCCTGTACGGGGAGAATATCGACGACCAAGACTTCGAACAGCTCTGTGCCGAGGTTGCATCTATGGTGACCATTCACCCCGAGTTTCTGTCCTTCCTGTGCCTGTTGGAGGCAGACAATAATGTGGGGGCCGTCGTCCTGACATGCGGGCTGCGCCAAATCTGGGAGAAAGTCCTGGAGCGCGAGTCTCTGCTCGGGATCGTGAAGGTCATCGGGACGGGGAGAGTCGCAGACCCGGACTCTTTCATCGTTACAGCCAATGTCAAAGCCGCGGTGGTCGAACATCTTCAGCGAGCTCATCGCACCAGGGTATGGGCATTTGGCGACAGTACCTTGGACTTACCCATGCTGAGGGCGGCCGATGAAGCCATTGTGGTTGTCTGCGAGGAACAGATCCGAAGCAGGTCAATGGAGGCATCCCTGCACAGAGCCGTCGACCATGAAGGTTTCCGAGCACGACAGCTTCTGTTGCCCAACGACACGAAGCCACGTCTCAGCATTGGCTGCTTACCCCTGGTTGGGCTCGACGACCAGGACTTTCTTGAATCCATTTTCACCTCGGTGCACCTGAAGAAAGCCAGACCTCGTCACGAGGGCTTTGAACCTGGCCGAGTACGAGTGATTGGAGCGTCAGGCACCGGCGCAAGCCAACTCTTAATGACTCCCATGCGCGATGCCAGAATTTCCGGTCCGGCCCTACGGAAAGCACATCGCGTGGTTGGACGCTATATGGCAACAACGTATCTTACTGAGGTTATTGGGCTTGAGGAGTCCCCGATCCCGCACGTCCAGGGGTACGAGACGACCGGCTTCCGCCTGCGTGACGAGGAAAAGACGTTGATCGTGCCCCTGATGCGAGGAGGCGAGCCGATGGCTTTAGGCGTCAACGACGCCTTTCCCGGCGCAATGTTTCTTCATGCGGCTCGGCCTGAGGACGTCAAGCGGGAGCATCTCGAGGACCTGCGTACTGTCATCCTGGTCGACTCGGTCATCAACACCGGGAAATCTATTTCGGAATTCGTCAAGCATGTCTCCAAACAGCGCGAAGACCTTCGAATCGTCGTGGTCGCCGGCGTACTCCAAGACAGGGCGGTTCACAAAGGCGAGTATGCGCTCGACAAGCTCTCAGTGTATGGCCTCGACGCTGTTGTACCGTTCCGGGTCTCGGAGAATAAGTATACCGGTCGAGGGACAACGGACACGGGGAACCGCCTATTTAACACTGTCCATTTGGCCTAGAGCTGTTGCACTTGGCCGCATTCACATCCCGACGGCCATTCGCCCGCTTTACTTGCTGGAGGGACGATTGGGACGATCATGGTGGAAATGACCAAGTGAGTCTGACTTTGAGTAACCCATGCTGTGCATTGGATCCAATGTCAGCATTGGATTGAGACTGCTTTGTCTAAAAAAGGAAAAGAAAAGAAAAATGGCCCGTTGTCCGTCTTGCCATAGTGATATGCATTTGGTTATTGCAGTGACTTCAGTGCCTGACGAATAACGACTGACTGATGCGACCGCCTCTCTGAACTCGCAGGGCCTGACCCTCCTTCTGTCACATTATAACGTGTATAAGCACTTGCAAGAGCGCCACAGTAGGTACGTACAATGATATGGGAATTCCCTTTTGGCGTAGTGGTAAAGTTTTGCCGTGCGACAGTACAGTTATGAGCCTGGTTTGCAGCGCCTGAAGCATTCAATATCTTCAATAGCTTCAAGCTATCCTATAATTACCCTTCCGCCGAAAAGTAACCACAGCGATATCCCCCGTTGCCGGCGGATAGAGTCTTATTTATATAGTGACGAACAGGCAGCGGATCGATGACAATACCCTGTCGATTGAGGACCTCTCGAAGGACCTCAGGGCTCTGTTGAATAGCATAAACAGGAGGGCTAGTCTGCTTCGTAGAGTCTCTTCATAGAGAGACATCTATTCCCGTTTTGTAGATAGAGCCTCACAGAAAGAGACATCCGATGTCCTCCTATTGTTAAGTAAGATACGATGGGCAGAACAACAAGTAACGGCTACGCCTGCGGCAGTTGAATAGAGCGGGATTGACCTGATCGGCCAATCAGAAGCCGCGAGAAGCAGCAATCAAGGCTGTGATTAAGCTCAAATGGAACGAATTGAACGATCAAAAAGGGATCGTTTTGGGAGCTCTTTTTGAGAGCGTGTTGAAACAGTTGTTTTTGTGATAGAAAAGATCGAGGAATCCTGTGGTGAACTGAGGGCTCTGATTGGCTAGTTGGTCCGGAAGGATCCGGCTCTAACTGGGGGCGCGTATGGTACGAGCCTCGTGTCGTATGGGCAGGACCACGATATAGTCTATAGGGGATCCAGGGGGGATCCACTCCATAACTAAGGGCTCCGGATATCGGGGACTTCTAGTATCAGGATATAATAAGGGTGTATACCGGAAAAGACCGGATAGGATCTAAATAATATAGTACCAATAATAGAGTCTTCACCACCTAAAGTAAGGGTATAAAAGACTCTCCTAGATATAACTTAAGATAATATATATATACGAGATTTCTACTCTGCTAAGTTAATTATATAAATACCTTTTAATATACGATAGTTATAAGCCCGGTTTATAACGCCTAAACGATAGATATTAATAAGGCTACCCTTACTCTACTACAAAGAAGTAATTATATCTATATACGCACTTTTAAATAACTATTATCGACCTAATTAGAGTAATTAAGAGATTAATTAACTTACTTATTAATTAACTAACTAATAAACGATAAACTAGTAAAGATATCTTTTAATATATCTAACGCCGAATAAAAGGCGGCCGCTATTACCCTTATTAACTAAAGGGATTAAGCGGTTTAGGAGCGCGCCGTATATAGTAAATCGGCCTCCTACTAGGATAACTACCTTAATCTAAAGCTAAGCGATAAGGAGGCTAACGCCTATCTCCTCCTTATACCTACGCCCCCTAATATCTATAAATATAAGGCTCTTACCGTGGACCCTAATACGGAGGAGGCCACGGCTACTACCGTCACAGCCACTCCGTCATCTACTATCACGCTAAAGGGCGATAAGGCCACGGATACTATAGATACCGCTACTACGGCCGCTACTATAACGGCTATAGCCGCCGGTAAGAGGAAAACGGCCGCTCGCCGGAAGGCTATAGCTATAACGAAAGAACTAACGATTAAAACGCCTACGTCTATTAATAACCTCTTTAAAAAGGGGCGTACGCGCTACCTATAAGATTACCGCATATACCGCGAGGAAAAGGCAGACTATAATACGTAGTAGAAGGAGTTTAATAAAGTATACTCCTATATTAAAGGGACTGTTTATACTATATTACGTAACCTCCTCGCCTAGCTATAGAATAATACCGTAAATAACCTATAGGCTTAGATTACTCTCCTATACGCGTATATAGGACTAATACCTATGGACCTTTATAAGGAAGCCTTAATCCTATACCGATAATACACCACGCTAATAAAGGCTATACCTAAGGATATAGATGCCTAAGTAATAAGCTAGAAAATAGCGATAATATACTATAAATATATAGGCGTTTTAGAACTATTAAGCGCGGACTATTAAGTAGAAAACGCGTTAAAAGCCGTTAGACCTATTACCTAGGAATAGAGTATTAACTACATAGTAAATAACTATAATAAGATTACGGAAAACGAACTAATAACTAATAACTTCGTAAAGGCTTTACGGGCGGTTCTTAGTAATATAAAAAGCCTATAATCCACCGCTATAAAGCCTAGAGTTAGGAGAGGTACCTTTAATACCCTTAGGAATCTCCCCGATACTAAGGATACTACTAATAACGATACTAATAAGAAGCGCCCTTATAGTGATATATCCGTAAAAGCTATCCCTCCCGTAATAAGGAGGCTTTACGAGATATATAAGAATATCTATACTACCGCTGCCTATTAGTATATAAGGCCGGATATACGCCCTCATACTTAGCGTGGCCGTGAAGATATTATAAAGGTCGCGGAAAAGAAGATACGTATTTATAGTTTTAAAAGCCGCGTGGATACCGTGATATAGAAGAGGCGGGAAGTAGTAGCTACTACTGCTAATAAGATACAGGAAGTCTAGGAAGATTAACTCTATAATACTACGCCTACTATAGTTTATAAAGACCTGTCCGTTACCGCGACGGGGAGACTAAGAGCCCCCTTAACCTAAGGGGTAGCGCGTCGTCGTATAACGATACTATTAAGATTATAATAAGAATAAGAGATATCCCTTTCTATTAACTAAGCTAGAGCGCTATTATACTACGCGATCCTAGACTTAGGATCGTTAATCTATATCTTTAATAATCGAGGCCGTTTTACGGCCGTTAGACTACCCACGGTTAATTTATTAACGCTTTAGGTAGGTACTTATAAGGCTCCTATCCTCGGATACGGAGATATTAAGCTATGTGTATAATCCTTAGCGGGCACGAAGAGGCTATTATGCCTCCGTGATATTATATATTATAAGGAATTCGTTACTAATATCGTCTCGGAATGCTAGCTACGTCTATAAGATTATTATTAGGATACCGTAAATAATACTATTACTAGCTCCGCCAATAACCGGCCTATCTATAAGCTGCTAGATATCTACGGATAGTATATAATCGAGCGCGCGGAAGCTACGGCCACTACCGCGTTCGCGGTCTTAGTAAGGTACCCCCGCGATAACCTGTATAGAAGATCATGATAACCACGGTAACCGTAGAAGACCACGGTATAATAGTAGTATAAACGCCTTAGCTATTACGGCACCGATACTCTTATAAAGATCGTCGACGCTACTTAGGGGGTATAGATAAAGGGACCACGTATAACGGACTATAACGCGTGTGGATAATCGTAAGTGCTTACGTATATCCGGCGGATATTATCCTTTTACCCGTTAAAGCCTGGAGAGGCCTTAGCTATTAATTTTCACGATTTAGAAGAGTCGGAATCGCTAGACGGCCTATATAAGTCTATTATATTCGTTATAGACGTGTATATAGGTTATACGTAGAACTACTACCTACAGAAAAGAGACTAAGGCTTTATCTTACACGCGTTAAAAGACGTTTTTACCCTGTTTAAAACCTAATTTGATATCCGGCTATATATTCTATAAGTCGATTCCGAGATATTTTAACACCTAGAAGTCGTTGCTTTCCTCGCTACTAAAGGGGTAAAAGGCTAGCCGTCGGCACTGTATTTATAGGATTAAAACGGCGTTATAGAATGGATTAGAGGTATTATTAAGAGAAGGGCGAGGGCTATAAGGATTAGAGCTAATCTGCTTATATCTATCTAGCCTAAGATCTTTAAGACGGCTATATATCTGTATAATAGGACGCTATAATATATTAACGACTAGCGAATACTATACAAAGGCCTACGTAGCTATTAACCTAACCTTACGCACCTATAAGCTTATAGCTATAAAGCCTTTATAAAAACGCGCGATACCTAAGCTAAAAGGAACCGCCTATAAAGGCTAGAACCGAAGGTATACATCTGTTATTATATCGGATATTAATCCTCGAATAGCTTCCGTATTTAGCTACTATACCTAACGGATATTATCACTATAGAAGACGTAGTCTTTAACGAAGATAAGATATTTAATAGTAGGATTAAAACGCTATAAGCTATAGCTTCCGCTAGGGAAATCGGGGAACGCCTATAATTTATCCGTATCACTTAATCTAATAAGACCGCGAATAGGCTACTATTAAGGGGTATAGCAGTAGACGTATTAGATCTCAAGTCGGAAGACTCTAACGCTACCGTTATTACTACGAGTAAAAGCGACGCTACCGCTATTACTACGGATAAAGGTAAGGCTATCGCTATTACTATAAGAGAGGCTACTACTATTACTATAGATAAGGTTTTAAATCTATAGCCTAATACCTAAGCTATAGATTTAGAACCTCGTAACCCTAACGCTACCATTATTACTACGGGAGAGGCTATTACTATTACTGTAGACTATAGCACCGCTATTACTATAGATACTACTATTACTATAAGAGAAGACTATACTACCGCTATTATTACGGGTAAAGGCGATAATACCGCTATTACTATGGGAGAGGCTACCGCTATTATTACGGATACTTTACGGTTTACTACTACGAGGTTTAAACCGTTTCCCACGCCTCTAATATCCCCGGAAGATCCCGCGCGCGCGTTCCTGATAGCGTTAGCGGTAATCAGGGGCGTTAAGGTGGAAGAACACGATAACCACTAACGGATAGCCGGGGATACCCCTAGAGGGTGCTTATTGGCCGCGCGCCTATTACCCGCGCGCCTATCTATTATAAGTATCTATAAGACCAAGAAGGTATAGAACGATAATGCTTAAAAGGCGTTCTTTAACGCTAGAAGGACTTATAACCCTATACGCGTAAGGCAGTAAGCTATTAACGACGATATCGGTGCTATAGATTCCCCTTATACCTCCTAGCCATTATCGCTATCGTATATAACCTATAAGAATCTCCCGCCTTTACTAAACTACTACCGCGATATATGCGTCCACCCACTATAGGAGCGTTGGTTATAGGCTAAGAGGGAATACCTTAAGGGGCACCGATAGATAAGCTGCTAGTAGGAGGTAG